GGAAATAGAGTAGACACCAGCAGCATTAAGAGCAGTGTGAACTAGATTGCTATGAAGTGTTAGTTTGTCAAAAGGCGAGCTTTATGTCAAGAGGACGAAAGGTATTAGTAAGAGTTTTGAGTTCAGATATGCAGGGAAGGCAGAGCACAGTGCTAATAGTGTTGGAAGCAGGTTTAGGATGAAAGTAATTTCGTTTAGCTTGAGAATAGGCACAGTTGATAAAAAGTAAAGGGTAACCAAGGCGAGAGAAAGATTTGTAGATAAAGGAAATTTCAGAATCAAGAAACTGAAGGTCGCTGATGCGTAGAGCGTGGAGGAAGAGAGAGAGAGAAGAACACTTTTCTTAACCGATGGAGGATGGTAAGAAAAAAAAGTGAATGTACATGCCACTATGCATGGGTTTGCGGTAGACAGAGAAAGAGAACCCGGACAAAGAGCTGTGAACGTCAAGAAAAGGAAAGAGGGAATTAGATTACCATTTACCTTTGAAATGGATGGAAGGAGCCAGATTGTTAAGAGAGGAGAGGCAAGGCTGGAAAAGACTAAGGTCACGAGGCCATAAAGCAAAAATGTCATCAACCTAGCGAAGCCAGAGAGAGGGACGAGAGTCAATAGAAGGGAGAAGAACAGTTTCGAAGTATTCCATGTAGAGATTGGCAAGAACAGGGAAGAGAGGGGAACCCATAGCGACATCGAAAGTTTGAGAGAAGTATTTACCGTTGAAAGAGAATGAGTTAATTTACCGTTGAATGAGAAACCACAGAGTTTGATGAATTCGAGGAAAAAGTCAGTGGGAAGCGGTAGAGGAAGAAGGCCCTCAGTTACCTTCTGACTAAGGAAAGAGAGAACGTCGTCAAGGGGAACATTAGTAAACAGAGTCGACATCAAGACTAATCATCTTACAGGAGGGCTGCAGGCGCAGTCTTTCTATGATGTCGTGAGGGTTATCTTGAGATGATTTCGGGGCTTTTTAGTGTCTCCGCGGCCCGGTCCTCGACCAGGCCTCCACCCCCAGGAAGCAGCCCGTGATAGCTGACTAACACCCAGCTACCTACCTATTTTACTGCTAGGTAACAGGGGCATAGGGTGAAAGAAACTCTGCCCATTGTTTCTCGCCGGCGCCTGGGATCGAACCCAGGACCACAGGATCACAAGTCCGCTCGGCCGACCGGCTCCCTTCGTCACAGGGTGACGAAGGTTGGCAGGAGAAAAAGTGCCAAGGTAAGGAAGGCATCAGAGTTTTAGCGAGCCAGGAGGCAAGACGATAGCCGACAGAGCCCTTTGAAGAAATGATAGGACGAAGAGGAACACCAGGTTTATGAGGCTTAGATAGACGGAAGAGAGGGGCAGATGACACGGAAACGTATAATAATAAGATCAAAGTCAGGAGGACAAAGACCTGAGAGCTGTCTTAGTTTGCGGTTGAAGAAAGTTTTAAGACGATACCAAGGGTTAGAAATCAGAAGAGCATATGTGCAAGAGTTAGAGAGCAAGACATCTGATTCTGGAGGTAGTCCACGGGGTCAAGGATAACTACCGAATTGTCTTTGTCGGAAGGAAGGCTAAGAATAGAGTTCTTAGATTTCGGGAAGCAAGGGCAACCTAGAAGCGATGAGGAAGGTGGTGATTTTAGAGAACAAACTGTTAAGAACTGGGATAAGGGCCCCTCTAAAAGCAGAAAGGTCCGAAAGAGTACTAGAGTTGGAATTAACAAACTTATCAAAGGAACTAACGAGGTCAATGCCACAGCGCGGGCCAGGGGAAGCAGCATAAGAGAGACCAAGTCAGAGAAGTTCTTGCTGGTGCTTAGAGAATGGGGAAAGATGAAAGGTTGGTAACACAGTCAGAGAGAGTATTTAGCCCAAGGACTGTTGGAAATCAGGCGTTCAAGTTTGTTGTGTAGTGTGGAGGAGTGGTGGGAAGAGGAGAGGTGAGCAGTATCACCTCACCGCGTGAGCAATGTTTTTCAGTCACGTTATTGTGACTCATCATCTCCACAACTGATAAAAGCTCAGATGTTTGAGAGCCAAGTTACAGCCCCGCTCCTGTGCCAGGTAAGTCCACTACGGGCTCACCATAGCCCGTGCTACTTGGAAATTTTTGTTCCCAGTAGCTGAACCTTAAACAACAATATTGAGAGCCGCAGAGAGCAGGAAGCCACGGCTTCCTTATTGAACAATGTCAACCGTATCTCCTGGCTATTTATTGATAATTTTTAACTCTTTTTAACGTATTTTTTTATTTAAAATTTACTTAAAAAGAGTGAGCGCTTCACCATCCATGTAGTTAAAAACTAGTCTGGAAATGGAAAGCAACGCATACGCTCCCCTCACAATGTTCTTTGTGTGTTCCTCTGGCGACAGCTTACTATCCAAGACCACCCCTAGGTCTTGTTCTTTATAAGTTCTTTAATTCCTTTCCACATAATTTACAAGTTGAGTGTGATCTATTTTCTCCAGCTCCACATTCCATAACATGACATTTATTCACATTGAATTCCATTTGCCACATGTCGCTCCAATAGCTAAATTCATTTGAAGGACATTACAATCGTCTGCGTCTCCTGTCTTCCCCAGTATCTTAGCATCATCTGCAAACATGTTCACATAATTCTGTATTCCTTCTGGTAGATGGTTTATGTAGACGATGAACATTACTGGTGCAAGAACTGAACACCACGGGACTCTGCTAGTAACACTCCTCCAGTCAGATACATTGTCTCTCATTACCGCCCTTGCCTGTGTCAGAAAATCTTTCATCCATATCAGAAGTCTGCCTGTCACCCCTTCAGCATGTTCCAGTTTCCAAAACAACCTCTTGTGTGGAACTGTCAAAAGCCTTTTTTTAGATCTAGATTGATGCAGTCAACCCAACCACCTCTTATCTCTGTGGCTCTATCATAAAGATTTTGTAGATTTGTTACAGAGGATCTTTCTGTCCGAAAACCATAGTGTCTGTTGTTATGTCTTTACTCTCTAGGTGTTCTATCCATTTGGTTTTAACTATTTTTTCTAGTGTTTTGACTACCACGCTTGTTAGTGATACAGGTCTTTAATTTAGAGGGTCTTCTTGGCTATCATTTTTATAGATTGGATATATGTTTGCCTTTTTCTAAATATCTGCTAGGATTCCAGCGGACAAAAATGTCTGGAATGCGCGCGAGTGCGTGCAATTATTTGCGAGAGATCTCACTAATACCTAGTTGCGCTTGCGGGGATTGAGCTCCGGCTCTCTAGTCCCCGCCTCTTAACTGTCAATCAACCGAGGTACAGATTCCCAAGCCTACTGGGTTTTATCATAGCTACTTTAGAATCTGTGTATGGAGTCTGCCTCCGCCACATCACTGCCTAATGCATTTCATTTGTTAACTAATATGAAACTAAAAAAAAAGTTTGTTCTAAGGTCTCTATAGCTCATTTGGGTACTCAACCAAATCCGCCTGTGTCCCCTAGTGCGTGTGCCCCTTGCGTTAAACTGTCTTTATCTACCCTATCAATTCCTTCGAGAATCTTGTATGTGGTGATCATGTCTCCCCCTAACGCTTTTATCTTCTAGCGACGTGAGGTTTAGTTCCAGTAGTCTCTCCTCATAGCTCATACCCCTCAGCTTGGGTACTAGTCTGGTGGCATACCTCTGACCTTTCTCCAATTTAGTATTGAGCTAGACAAGATACAGACTCCATGCTGGAGCTGCATACTTCAGGATTGACCTGACGTATGTGATATGCAAGGTTCTGAATGATTCCTCACACGTTTCTAAAGGCCGTTCTTATGTTAGCCAACCTGGCATATGCTGCTGATGATATATATCCTCTTGTTAACAAGCAACACTGAAATAATCGACAGATATAACAATGCAGGATTCGTAATTCTGTGGCGCGGGTTCGATTCCCGCACGAGGCAGAAACAAATGGGCAAAGTTTCTTTCACTCTGAATGCCCCTGTTACCTAGCAGTAAATAGGTACCTGGGTGTTAGTCAGCTGTCACGGGCTGCTTCCTGGGGGTGGAGGCCTGGTCGAGGACCGGGCCGCGGGGACACTAAAAAAAAAGCCCCGAAATCATCTCAAGATAACCTCAAGATAACAACAGAAGACTCGACATCAGCGAGGCGCTACGCATCAAAAAGTCAAGACCAGCAATCAACAACCAGTTAATACATGATTATATTCTACCCACTTAAAGACCCCGCACCAACACAGAGACAGTAGAGGCAAGAACATAAGCTGCTAAGGGAAAGGGAATCATCAGGAGAAAGTACCAAGCCATTACGACTATATAGCACTGGGAAGGGGTCAGGATAAGGATTTGGGATGGGACGGGGGGAAGGAATGGTGCCCAACCACTTGGACGGTCGGGAATTGAACGCCGACCTGCATGAAGCGATATATATATATATATATATATATATATATATATATATATATATATATATATATATATATATATATATATATATATATATATATATATATATATATATATATATATATATATATATATATATAGAGAGAGAGAGAGAGAGAGAGAGAGGGAGGGGTGATTGACTTAGGGGGTGAAATGGAGGGGGGGGCGGGCGGGATATTTTTTTTTTTTGGGGGGGGGGGGGGGGAACATAGGGGGTGATCCTCCCCCTTAACCCCCAACCCCCCCCCCCTCCCCATTACCTGTCCCAGTAACCCCCCGCGGATAATTAACACGCGCTAAATTCCTTATGGAAATAATGGTGGAGGCCGTGGCGGGGCGAGGCTGGGCCACGAGGGCCCACCTCTCCTCCGGGGCCCCAACAATGGGCCAAGATCAACACGAGAAAAAGTTGCCCGCCACCATCCTCCCTCTCGACGCTTGACGGCCATTGGCCCGCAGCCAAAACCACCAACCTTTGCCTCTTTTGCGCCACCAATGGCGAAATAACCTGCTACAGCACCTGAATACTCTCGGAAAATAAATACGAGAGGGAATTCTACCGTGTGGGGCATTCAACAAGGCGCTGATGGACTTACCGGGGGCCAAAATAGGGTGATGAAGTAGGAATCAAACTCCAGCCGTCGACATCTGTGTGTTATGGTGCCGACTCTACAGATACCCGCCAGGCCCCTCCACCCTGCCACGCTGCCACATCTACACCCACCCCTACCTCACTCTCAACAACCTTAAATATAACTCCTCCCCTTACATTAAACCCACAAAAATAAATTAGCAAATATTTTATATAAATCTAATATAGGAGATATATGATCTCGAGCGTTTTATGCCAGAAAAACGTAACAATGCAGTAATTCTTGGCATTTTTCCCAGGACCCAAGAGTCCTGTGCGCTGTGAGAGATGCCACTATTCGCCAGATCTTACAATAATTACTTCAGCTCGTACCTTCCAAGGTGTTATATGTCTACATTATTTACTTCCTTACAAGGACCTTATATACTCAGTGTCCCCAATGAAAACCGGTATTAATGATGTACGTCTCGGATATACTCGTTCAGGCATTGCAATTAAATTTGTAAATATATATATATATATATTAGGCTATATATTTATTATAACAATTATACCAAATCAAAGATTTCAATAAAAATGTAATGCTGTATATTAAAATCTACTTCAGTTCTGTAACAACATATATCATGATACAATTAATTTATCAATGAAATATATGTATACCCAAGGTAATGTATGGCAACTGTAGAGGTCCTTCAGTCTGATGTGATGCCTCGCGACACACTCAGCCCCTTACATATATACAGTATATACATATATATATATATATGGCCCGCAACAATTATATAAGGTCATCTTAAACTAATAAATAAAATAATTACTTACAAAAGTACACATTGGTATGCATATATACATGTATGTATGGCTTCTTTGTTCACCCTCTTGTGACCACTTGTAGAATGTATTTCAAATAAATTGTCCATACATAACTAACAATTAGAAACCAAACAGACTGTATATACTAGCTTGCCTGGTGCTGCGAAAGCTAAACAGACATCATTCAATAAGTGTTATTCAGGCTATATTAACCATCCGCGTATATATACCGTGCGGAACAATGGGCCAATGGAGAGACGCGCCATCATATGGTCCATGACTACACTGGGTCACTCTAGTTGAAGGCAAAGCTGAAGAGGATCTCCATACATTTCCAGAGTGGTCATCCATCCATTTCCAGAGAGTGGTTCCCATCCATTTCCAGAGAGTGGTCACCCATCCATTTCCAGAGAGAGCGTGGTTCCCATCCATTTCCAGAGAGAGCGTGGTTCCCATCCATTTCCAGAGAGAGCGTGGTTCCCATCCATTTCCAGAGAGAGCGTGGTTCCCATCCATTTCCAGAGAGAGCGTGGTTCCCATCCATTTCCAGAGAGAGCGTGGTTCCCATCCATTTCCAGAGAGAGAGTGGTTCCCCATCCATTTCCATAGAGTGGGCACCCATCCATTTCCATAGAGTGGGCACCCATCCATATCCAGAGAGTGATCATCCATCCATTTCCAGAGAGTGGTCATCCATCCATTTCCATAGAGTGGGCACCCATCCATTTCCAGAGAGTGGTCACTCATCCATTTCCAGACAGTGGTCACCCTCAGACAGTGGTCAGTGGTAGGGAGCCGGTCGGCCGAGCGGACAGCACACTAGACTTGTGATCCTGTGGTCCTGGGTTCGATCCCAGGCGCCGGCGAGAAACAATGGGCAGAGTTTCTTTCACCCTATGCCCCTGTTACCTAGCAGTAAAATAGGTACCTGGGTGTTAGTCAGCTGTCACGGGCTGCTTCCTGGGGGTGGAGGCCTGGTCGAGGACCGGGCCGCGGGGACACTAAAGCCCCGAAATCATCTCAAGATAACCTCAAGATAACCCATCCATTTCCAGAGAGTGGTCACCCATCCATTTCCAGAGAGAGTGGTCACCCATCCATTTCCAGAGAGAGAGTGGTCCCCATCCATTTCCAGAGAAAGAGTGGTCACCCATCCATTTCCAGAGAAAGTCACCCATCCATTTCCAGAGGGAGAGTGGTCACCCATCCATTTCCAGAGAAAGAGTGGTCACCCATCCATTTCCAGAGAGAGTGGTCACCCATCCATTTCCAGAGAGAGTGGTCACCCATCCATTTCCAGAGAGAGTGGTCACCCATCCATTTCCAGAGAGTGGTCACCCATCCATTTCCAGAGAGCAGACTGGAAACGTCTGCGCCCTCCACTAAAGAGCATGCCAATCGGAATCCTCAGCTAACGAGTTTGCCAATTAGCACTCTCCACTTGAAGAGCAAATTGGTGGGTGCACTCAGCTGAAGAGTTTGATAACAGATTTTGAATTGAATTTGTAAAAGAACTGCAACCGGGAAATCATCCTAATTTACCGTCGAATCCTGCAGTCTCTCAGAGACACAAACCAGGATTTTACGCAATTCCCCCATGCACTCGAGCTATCTATCAGTCAGTAAATCAGTATGCTTTCCCGGTTTCAATTCTTTTTACCATGTCGTAGCTCAGTCGATTAGGCAGCGTCTAGGTTCCGCTCGGACGTAGGTTCGAACCCTCGTCACGGCCCTTATGGATTTGTTCATTTGATGCATCACGCTATTGTGATTTCTGTGTGTAATGAAAAAAACATATTTTTAATCTGAAATAATATAATTTCATAACGAAATTAGACGAAACTAAATGGCAGGTGACGTCACAAAAAGTCGACGCTCCAAACGACAATGTTGTGGCTTTGGGTAATGAGATGTACTTAATTTCGTTATAAAAAGAGATTATTTCAGAGTAAATATGTTCTGTCATGTTCTACATTGAACACCAACATCAGTGAGTAAATATATCATATAGTTCAACATTACTTACGTAATGCTAGGAAGCTTTGGGTAATTAAACGGACCCTATCAAAGGTACGGATTTTGTCAAGGGAAAAGAGACTGTTACAGCCCCGCTCCTGTGCCCGGTAAGTCCACTACGGGCTCACCATAGCCCGTGCTACTTGCCCCGCTCCTGTGCCAGGTAAGTCCACCACGGGCTCACCATAGCCCGTGCTACTTGCCCCGCTCCTGTGCCGGGTAAGTCCACTACGGGCTCACCATAGCCCATGCTACTTGCCCCGCTCCTGTGCCAGGTAAGTCCACTACGGGCTCACCATAGCCCGTGCTACTTGCCCCGCTCCTGTGCCGGGTAAGTCCACTACGGGCTCACCATAGCCCGTGCTACTTGCCCCGCTCCTGTGCCAGGTAAGTCCACTACGGGCTCACCATAGCCTGTGCTACTTGCCCCGCTCCTGTGCCAGGTAAGTCCACTACGGGCTCACCATAGCCCGTGCTACTTGCCCCGCTCCTGTGCCAGGTAAGTCCACTACGGGCTCACCATAGTCCGTGCTACTTGCCCCGCTCCTGTGCCAGGTAAGTCCACTACGGGCTCACCATAGCCCATGCTACTGGCCCCGCTCCTGTGCCAGGTAAGTCCACTACGGGCTCACCATAGCCCGTGCTACTTGCCCCGCTCCTGTGCCAGGTAAATCCACTTCGGGCTCACCATAGCCCGTGCTACTTGGAACGTTTTGTTGTCAGAGTAGGTGAATCTAAAAACAATGGAAAGATACATACGATCCACCTGAAAATCGGGACATTCCACAAGGAGATTCACAACTGCGAGTGGGCCAAACTAGTTTAGACAGTAAGGAACAAGGCGGCACTCTATTAAATATCCAAGAGTTAAGCGTGTATGGCCAATATGCAATCTAACCAAAGCCACTTCCCAGCGTCTATCACAGGAGGAAATGCTAGGTTCTCACCCCGTTGTACTGAATGGGGTGAGAATAGCTTGAGCTACCTCATCCCTTTGTGTGTATTTTACCTCAATAAACTTATTTCAATTTCAATTTCAATGCTAGGTTACCTGTAACCTCAGACCCCCAGCCAGCAGTCACGGACTGAGGGATATGAGCTCGTAGAAGTCTGAAATTTATTCTCAGAGCATTGGAATGTCTAGCTTTTACTTGTATCATTTTTATGTTTTACGAATTTTATTAAATGTCACTTGGTTATATGTGTTACTTTTATTGATGGTAATGTTAATTTCTTGTGTAAATTGTGTTGGGGAAGATTGTTTTAGTGTGAAGTAGTGGCTTTAGGTACAGTATTTGTATGTACTAGCTCTGCCTATAAATAATCAAAATGTTTGTAACTCTGCATCTATGTATGTACTTTTCCTAAATAAAATAATATTATTAGAGTAGCATACCTCATTCTGGTCAAAAGTGTGTTATTGGTTGCTTGGTAATGCGCCGTTCTGACTATTGTGATCTTTAGCTCAGAGATTGTAACTTGTTTAGCTCAATGAATTGTGGGGTTCAGTCCCTGAGCCCATTATGTGCCTCTGTAACCCTTTCCACTACCGCCCTCAAGATGGGTATGGGGTGCATAATAAATGAACTAAACTAAAACTAGCTCAGAGAACGGTACCACTGAGTAATACTTTATGTTATTTTACATATATGTAATGTCTGCATAATACTATTTGTGTGCTGTATATTCCCTGACTATAAATTACAGTATTGTAATTTAATTGTAAGGTATTCCCCTCCCCCTTACAGAATCCTGATTAGTTCATTTTTACTTAATTTTCCATACTATTATCCTTATTGTCTTGCTTATCTAATCTTTTCAGCTACCTTTAACTCTCATCATACTTATTTCTATGTTATTGGCTGTTACTTTATATCTATAGAATCTTTATTGTTATCAAGAGTTCCTCACTTCCTCAGTCCAACAACATACTTTCATTGACTCATTAGTTCAACACCACACACCAACCTAGTAATCTCAACACAATACGGTAGTTAGTAGTAGTTTCAAAGCATTATACGACAAAGAGTACTGGGAAGATGGGATACCACAAGCGTAGCTCTCATCCTGTAACCACACTTCGGTAATTACAGTACCCTGCACACCCATTTTTAGGTTATTTTCCTGTACATAAAAAATTCTCTCCTTTTTTTAAATCAAGACACATTTACTTATGACGGGAAACTAATTTTCTAATTGTTTAAGTGTGGCTGTAGTAAGGCGAGGGTATGTTGAAAATGTCAAATTCTGATATTCAATTTTCAAGTAAACTACTTGTAATAGATTTTCCCTAATCACACAAACAACTTCTTGGTCCATAAAAGTCCTTTTAATTTGTAACATGGTGACAATTGTACCAAGCATAGTTGTCAGTAAATAGATGGTGACGCTCCTGACATATTACCAATTTTGTTAACAATGCCCAGGAAGGTAACAAAGGCCTCCACGATTTTTTCCAATATGGTATATGATTGCCAGAGGTCTCATGTTGAATGACATAGTATATTTAGGAACTTTGAATATTATGAGGCACATTAAATCGTCCACAGGTGACAGGAGGATCGCCGGTCTATCACTTGAGTGAGACAGGAGCAATTTACCGGATAGGCAAACAAGCCGTGTTTGGCAGCCTTCACCCTATACATCACTGATCTAAAGTCTGTTACTCGAGTTATCAATTATATCAACAGACAAATCTTCAGATATTCCTCTTTCTGCTTGCGTGTTACACCCATACCGACTTAATATTCAGCCTTTATCTTTTCAACATTCACCTTCTACCATGTACTATGTTTCAAGCATATTCTTATGCATGAGACATGTAATAGTAATACACAATTTTCTTTCACTGAACCAATATATCAAACTATATCCATTACCATTTATAGCTTGGACACTATTATTGTTGATTATATTATTCTCAGGGCCAATTCCTATCTTACCATTCAAAAAATCCAACACAATTATATGTTATTCTTTGGTGTAATACAATTTTATTCTTCATGCATATATCACCATTAGATAAATGCTAAAGTCCAACTTTTATAGATAGGAAAAAGCAATACCTGCGTCTGACAGCTGGGTGGACAGCGCTTCGGATTCGTAGTCCTGAGGTTCCGGGTTCGATCCCCGGTGGAGGCGGAGACAAATGGGAAAAATGTTTCTTTCACCCTGATGCCCCTGTTACCTAACAGTAAATAGGTACCTGGGAGTTAGACAGCTGCTACGGGCTGCTTCCTGGGTGTGTGTAACAAAAAGGAGGCCTGGTCAAGGACCGGGCCCCGGGGACATTAAGCCCCGAAATCATCTCAAGATACCTACATTCAAAGAGTATGTGTTTCAAATTATACTAAAATTCATGCTATTACTGTATATAGGACACCTCAAAAAATTCATTGTTTGTTTTCATGACTCCTTTAAGGAAAAAGCTTTAAGATTCACTTTCCAAATGCTGAAAATATCATTCATCACACATTACCTCTACAACTAATGTTATCATTTTTGCTTCAGGTGTTACATATATGACTCGGGAAAATATTCACTGTCGCTTTGCTATCACTTTACGTTATAAAAGCTAGGGAAAGATCAATAATTAATGGATCCTCTTTTAATTGTCAAGTCTTTATATGATATGAATATATATCAGACCTTTGTCCTACAATTATACAGAAATTCATGTACATCTTCTGGTAGGGAATGTTCTAATATGTAATTCATAATAAATTCAAGAAACAAAAATCTACATGCTTATCTAGAAATAGCCAGAATTTTTTACATTTTCTATAAAAATAATTAAATGGAAAGCGCAGGTAGAAAGGGCTTACCAAACTGCTAATAGTAATGACTAAAATCACAAAACTCTATACAAAAACTCAGTACATATCTTTGGTGGTAAGCAAAGAGTGAGGGGGGGGAGGGGGTTTAAAAAAAACTATCTTAATAAGATAATATAGAACACACTAAACCATAAATTACTCTTACTTAAAATATTGTTATTATTTTGAACAACCTCTCATGGCAATGTACCTGTGCTTAAATCACTGCTTCATATCAGTGCAATAACACATTTATGATCCAGTGACTGACAAGATGATCATGTATATCAGTTTATACAAGACAAGATAAAATACTTTGACAGATTTTACAAACCAAAAATAATTTAATTATAAAGAATGTTCACATAGTGAACATTTCAACTGTTTCAGATTGTGAAGGATCACTAGGGTCTGTGAAAAGCTGCAGTGGCTCAGCTTTAACAATTGAGCCCTTGTTGCCTAAGCTATCTGCATTAAAGTTCTCACTTCCGATATGTGAATGTTCAGCTGCAAATTGTGCATATTCTTCATCTATATCCTCCTGTCCCAAATTAACCTCTTGGAGACCCGACGATACCACAGGGGCCGAAGAAATCATCGATGTTCCGTTCGTAGTGATGGAGTTTGTAATGGTGGTAGAGGTATGCTGCTGTTGAGATGGGATTGAAGTTGTAGCTAAGAATGTATGTGCAGTTGTAGTGGCCGTTGATGTAGCAGTATTATCCATCACTACAGGGATGGCATAATACACCCCCGTGGTAGCCGAGTCTTCACCGGCGACGAGGATGGTGGTGCTCCCTGATACATTACCTTCCAGCTGATCCATCTGTTCAGCAACCTATTGTAAAATGCAATTACAGTGCACAATAGTAACATTGCCAAAAAAATATAGAACAGACTGAATAAGAAAAAATGGTACCTTAAAATAGTTTACTTCATCAATTCATGTGAAGCACTATGCACCTAATTGCATGAAGCAGTGGAGTGCTATTTGCTTAAATGTTATGGTGCTGATTCTATGTGATGCTTCAATATGGAGTGAAGAAAATATGGTGAATGAGTGGGATATCTCTGAGCATTTTTAATCTCCTATTTCTACTTCATTGATATATCCCCACCCTATGAGTGAGAAACATGGTAATAATGATTATGTTGATGCATGCAATATTTTACTAATTACACACCCAGTTTCCTATATAATACTGTATATCACAGATACAAGACCAATACTGCAGCATAAATACAGTACTGCCATAGTACTGTCATGACTTGCTAAGCGCTTAAGAAAGGCCAGAGGTTTGCCATCTGGCTAGTACTTCAACTAAAGGGCTGCATTTATGCAGCTCATCCTCTCGAGTTCTCACAAGACAGAAAATAGTGTACTAAAGCACTTGAACCTAACCCAACTAAGCCATCCATGAAGGAGTTGAATATTTGTGAGCTATTGTGATTCATAGTACACCATATTTTGTCTATTGGGGATTTTGATGTCAAAATGCAACACATTATTGGAGAGGACAGGCTGGTCTATGAGGATAGAATGAAAGGGCTAAATCTCAAAGAAAAGACTAGAGGAAATATGCAAGGGGTACCATCAAATATTGCCGGAACAACCGTGGACATTTTCAAGAGGAAACTAGATTTATTCCTCCAAGGAGTGCCGGACCAACCGGGCTGTGGTGGGTATGTGGGCCTGCGGGCCGCTCCAAGCAACAGCCTGGTGGACCAAACTCTCACAAGTCGAGCCTGGCCTCGGGCCGGGCTTGGGGAGTAGACGAACTCCCAGAACCCCATCAACCAGGTATCAACCAGGTAAAGACAGGTCACTTCAAAATGGATCACGCCAGAATGAGACAAAACAAGCAAATGAGCTAGTGAGATATATGAATGACTATTTTTATGAGGACATCATGTATTAATATCACAAACTATACTTTGCAAGAAAGTAGTAGAGGTTGACTCGATATAAGGATTCAAATGTAGATTTTAACAATACTAGTAACTGGGTTAGGAAGATATCATATTAATAGATTATTGGTTAATCTATTAATATGAGTTAAAAGAGTCCTCGAGCTGAAGCACACTCCCTGCTTATACAACTAAGTAAATATATAATGTACACACATAAATATATGAACATTAAATACTTTCACAATGATTCTGTGGAAAATATATATAACACATGGAAAACTAGGAAAAGCAACACCTAAACTTTTGTCCAGGTATTATTTTACTAAACATAATGCACTCAAATTCTGAAGCTATTGACAGCAGCACACAAAGTGAGGTGCTTTTGTAGTGGAATTTAAGTGTTCAGATTGTACACATTCTCCTACCAACAACCACTGGCATTATCTAGTTTCAAATTAACTGAATGTCAAAGCAAGTAAGTAAGTAATTATCAAAAAGAAGGCACCAAACCGGGAAGGTTATGTAGCACCATCAAATGTGCGGGATAATCAGAGGGCGCTAAATATCACCAAGTATGCCAACACGAGAACAGAAACGCATAAGGCGAACGATATCAAAAGTCAAAGCATGTAAACAGACTGGTTTGAGGGAGATCTTCAGGGATGGGAACTTCAGTCTTGTAAAACAGATTCTTCAAACAGGACAAAAATATTGGTGCAACATTTCCTAGTGTTCTTCTTGGGACATATAAATACATTTAAATATATATGTATGCATGCACACAGGAATGGGATTGCAGGGGGGGGATGGGAGGAAAGGGTAACATCAACTTCCTCTCTTTCCATTAACTCTCACCTTAAATGCAGACTCCACAATATTTAGTTCCTCTTGGTCCCTCCGTCTCGGTGTATCTTCCTCCTCTATTTTAACTCCAAGGGTGTCGAATGTTGGCTCGTCTGTGCTTGTGCCACTGTTGACACTTCGTGCTACCGATGAAATTGCTTTCCGAATTTCCCGTAATTTTCCAGCACCTTTGCGTTTATAGGTCTTTGTTGTAGTTACAGAAGTAGTGGGTTGTGACATTACCTCCGATACATTTACTTTATAATAATTTAGAGACGGATCAACTTCCTTCACAACGGGAGGAGGAAGTTCTGGTATTTTTCCTTCCTTTCTTAGTTTAGCAACTTTAGACTTGTACTGATTATTTGTAAGACCATGTATAGTACTGTAGTGTTCCCTGAGACCAGCTCTGCCATCTAGCATTGCATTACATATTCTGCATGGAGTGTTTTGAATCTCCTGCATATTGTGCATTGTTCGAAGATGTGTCCGTAAGTGCACCTTCTGCACAAAGCCCTTGGCACAGTAATTACAAATAAATGGCCTTTCACCTGTGTGAACTCTAACGTGCATTTCAAGTTGACCTTGACTTGGAAAGTTCTTGCCACATATGTAGCAATTGAGCCCACCATCCTCCTCATGCATTCGCACCATGTGAGACTTCAAGGAATCGGTTCGAGTAAACACCTAAAGAAAAATGTATGTAAAATATTAAATTGAAGTACAGTATGAGAATTTCCATCTTTTACATTTATACCCCACATTATAAAATTACACACATCATATATATACCCCTCGGAGATCCTAGTTAGGAAGTGGTGGAGGTTTCTATAAAAGACGAGCACTGTATGAACATGGTATATACTACAACACTTTCTAAGATGATCAAACTGATTATTAATTGATACATTTGTTGTTGTTTTAGATTTAGCTACTCAGAACGGAGTGTCCATGTAGCACGGGCTACGGTGAGCCCGTAATTAATTGATACTCCAGCTCTTATTAATATATCACCCTGGTGCCATACTCCCCTACCTCAGGTGGTGGCCACAGCAGAAGTTCCTCCAGGATGCACCAACACCACACTAAACTTTCACTCTAGCCCTTGCATGGCCCAGGGGTTACGCAAGGCATTATCTGCATGCACACACAAAATAATATTCAAGGCAAGGTTCTTCTATCCTATACTGTTCTTGCCACCTTTCCTTCCATATAAAGATCCAATCTTTCCTTCAATGATGCTAGTCATGTGTGTTTACCACACTGACAGGAAATTTAGCTTAAAATGCAGCCCATCCTCCAGTTTTGGTAGTACTTATGGTAACAATGAGGACCATAGTACATATACCAATGTACAACATAATTAGAAAGTAGTAATCGGTATTATTGAAGGGGATGAGTCACAATAATGTGGCTAAAGTAAGTTGACCAGACTTACTTTACCAGACTTCCTACTACTATCTCCTCTACTACACTTTGCTCCTCACCTCTCTCTAGCCTATTTATTGCCTGCATCTACTTCCTCATCACAATCGACTTGAGAATGGTCCAGGACAGACCGAAATGTCGTCGTCCCTTCACCTTCTAGTGTGTGGTCTGGTCAACGGTATTATTGAATTTGTACAAACCAGAAAACGATTTTCAACTTGTGTTACAGACAAACTAACCTAACCTAACCTTCCTAGGCCTAATACACATTATCTGAGGCCTAATATAGTACATGTGTGTGCTATACTAGGCCTAGGATTATTTAAGGTTGTGTTTAGCTTCATTTTTTTACTCTATAAAATGAATAGTACGAAGTTCTACTCTTTATTTGCTTAGTATGTCAATATTTGCACTATGGTTACATAGTTACAAAAAGTACTATCTAAACAAGAGTAAAATACTATCTAAACAAGGTTGTAAAATACAATAACTTTTCCTTTCCTAGAAATATTGGATACAATATATACAGTAACTGTATGACATAAATACAAAAATTAATACAATTTCTACATCACCAGCAGTTACCAGAGGTAGCCATAATCAAACTACCTTTGTATTCACAGCTCTCATAACATGGATCCAACTTTAAATTGCTTGCAAAAACAAGCTATCTTTTTTTGTGACTAATTCCTTAATAACTAGTATCCAGGGGCCAGATTCACAAAGCAGTTAAGCAAGCACTTACAAACCTGTACATCTTTTCTCAATCTTTGGCGGTTTTGTTTACAATTATTAAACAGTTAATGAGCTCCGAAGCACCAGGAGGCTGTTTATAATAATAACAACAGTTCATTGGCAAGTTTTCATGCTTGTAAACTGTTTAATAAATGTTACAAAAGCCGTCAAAGGTTGAGGAAAGATATACTCATTCGTAAGTACTTGCGTGACTGCTTCGTGAATCTGGCCCCTGGTATTATTGTCCCAGCTCTACCTGCTGACTAGACTTCTTATTCTATCCCGGAGAGTAGAGCGACGGTCTTGCTTCATGCAGGTTGGCGTTCAATCCCCGACCCGTCCGAGTGGTTGGGCACCATTCCTTTCCTACATCCTATCCCCAAAGCCTGATCCTCACATCTCTTCCAAGTGCTATATAGTCGTAATAGCATATCTTTTTCTCCTGATATTTACCTTACCTTGTAATTTAAGAAAGTTATCAGCTTCCTATTTGGAATAAATACAAATATTAAGTTTGTATTACAAAATCTGTGATATGAACTGAAGAAGGCAGATATACAAAATGCCAAGACTCTAATTTGAAGATGCAATACCTAGAGAGTTATTAATTGAAATATTGTATTTCAAAGGCTAGAGTTAAGCTGAATGCCAATTTACTGGTCACAAGTGCGTTGGTCACCAGCCATACACAGATAGTTTATTTCTCTCATTTTGAAAGAGTTTCAACTACAGTAAGAGGAGTTGGCAATGAGTGGATGTCCATTCACTGCAAATCAAACGCAGGACAGACTAAAACATTCTCCCCTTCATTTAATTTCACGCATGAATTAAGTTATTAAACAGTTAAGGCTATCGTAAGGTTATCTTGACCTTGCTAGGCACCATTTAGATATAAAGTTTAGCTTTGTCACCATACTACAGATGGCCATAAATTTCTTTGAAAAACTGGAACACCCACTGAAGAGTGGGCATTAACTCGCCCACACTAGATTCTAACCAAGTCATGATAGCAGAACTGGGCTGTAGGGAGGAAGCAAAGGCAGGAGGAGTTGACCAATGTTACTGAAGACCCTGGGAGACAATCCTGAAGGGTTGGATATTGCAAGGCCAGGAACCGACAACAAGCTACATGGCCCCCCATAGTGGCAACCATGGGGGCAAACAATGAAAGGGCTGGGGCAAAATTCCCCCCCTAGCAGAAGCACTCAGTTGTGAAGTCTGAAAATGATGGAGATCAGAAGAGGTAAAAAAATACAGGAAGCTCTAAGGCCTCAATGACAGCCTTACCTCAACAACCACAGGCGAGGCCTAAACCCAACAGCAGGAAAAAAAACCACTGTAAATAGGGACAAAAACAGGAGATGGACCTTTAGGGGAAAGTACCAAGCCAAAGTGAAAACCTGGTTAGATATGGCACACCGAAATGCAAGATGATACGGAACAGCCATATGTCTAAATCCTAGGGCAGGACTGGAGCAGAGACATTGCCCAAGAAATCTAAAGGACAGAGCCCACCGTTCACAACTCAAGTGCTGAGGTACTGCACTGCCACACCTAATTCCCAAGGAAAGAGAGGGTCTGCAAACCAGGAAGAAACAGACACCTCAGAATGCAACCATAAGGCCAAAGCTGACCCAAACTTAAGAGAGTCAGAGTCTATGAGGAAAGAAGTCCCAAACCCACAGGAAGAACTGACAAAGACTGAGCCAAAACAAATGGGATGCAGGATGACACAATCCTCCTAGAACATTAAGCAGCCAAGGACACTAACTACATGGAAGCTAACTAGGGGAGGAGCAGCCAAGGACACTAACTACATGGAAGCTAACTAGGGGAGGAGCAGCCAAGGACACTAACTACATGGAAGCTAACTAGGGGAGGAGCAGCCAAGGAATTAGACTCAAAATTGATCGAGAAAGAATATCTCACCATAACTTAAAAAATCTGCAGAGGGAACCAGATACCAGGACAGATTGAAGGGCACCCAGGAACCCACCTCAGGCTCCTCCCCAGCCCTGGAAGTCCAAAATGAAGACCCTGGGGCAGAGCCACGTTCTGCACACGACACCCAAACACACAGGAATATAGTACATCGCCAAAGTCTAAAAGGATCCAAATCAAATACACCTCCCGAGAAAAAGACAGCTATGGATCCCAGGTGGGAAGAACGGCTCAAATGTCTCCAGCATTTGTGGAAGAGGGTGACCACTGGAGAAGACCAAGCTACATTTACAGCAAATTGCAGCCCAGACTACAAAACCCTCAGACATCCTGGAGTCCAGAGAAAGTGCAGTACACATCAATTGCTCCAAATCCAAATCCCCAAAACCAAAGAATGTCAACTTCAGGGCAACCACTCAAGTGCCAAGCTGTAAAAACTGAATAGAGCAAATGAACCCAAAATGGCTGCCACCTATAAAGCCTCATCACTGCAAAAATAAAAATAAAGAAAGCCAAAAGACTGAGGCTCTGGCTAAACTTAAAGGTCTAGCAATCAGAAATGTTGTAGACCTTGGGGGTAGAAGGTAATATGCACCAAACAGATGGCAGAGGGAGACGGTTTAAATGACCATTGAATCACAATAAAACCGATGGACATCCCTCAAACTTGCAAGTAGCGAGTGTGGGCTTGGCAGGTCAATTCATGATGAGCCACACCCAAGACCCACATGGTATGCCAGAGTCTGATGATTAGGACCAAGTGGGACACCTAGGCACTAGGGATACTTGCTGGAAGGACTGACACTGAACACAGTCTTTAGGATAGACACTGCTATGAAGGTCAACAATGGCATGTTGTATGTACAAGCACAGAACCCAAGTGTACTCCCTTAATCAATAAACCCCAGAATGCCCCCAACTGCAGAGCGTCACAAAGAAATCAAAGGACACTGCACAACTTTGGGTGAGGTACCCAACACAGTAGCACAGAAGGCCAGCCTCTATAGGACAAACTCCTGAACCCATCAGGGAAGGTACCGTCAGGGGGGGGGGGCATCACTAAATGAGTGCCCCTGGAAAAGGGACACTCCAAGAAAGGTGCCTTTTCTTGAAGTGCCTCCAAAAATACTGCCTTAAACACATGCAGCTTGAAGTGAACAGTTTCCAAAGGCCACACAACAAGTGTGGCTTGTAAATGTACACATGTGAAAGTAACACAAAATACTGAAATGACACGCATACAAAATGGCCCCCACAAGGCAGTCTAAAGGACGGCTCACACTTATCTAGTAAATAGTTGGGACCTTAAGGGCCTAGTGACTAAGAGCAATTCACACAAGTGGACATCAAGTGAAGGACTGAGTAGTGTTGACATGGGAGCCATCAGCTCCTGTGGGACTTCCACCTTGCCGTGGCCAGCTATAACTACCGGCATTAAAACTGACTACTGCATGATTTATTTGCAGAGTTGTTTGCTGCTTCATCTCTCTTATCATTGTGAACCTTGCAGATGTCTGCTTTGCTTCGCTTACTTTCTGGATATTGTCTCTGGTGAGAGTGATTGTAAAGAATCTCCTGCTCTCTGCACCTCTGTGAGGGGAAAAAGAGGCCAGTTTCTGGCTCTGGGGCTAGATTCACGAAAGCACTTACGAACGTGTACATCTTTCCTCAATCTTTAACGGCTTTGGTTACATTTATTAATTCGTTTACAAGCATGAAAACTTGCCAATCAACTGTTGTTATTGTTATAAACAGCCTCCTGGTGCTTCCGAGCTCATTAACTGTTTAATAATTGGAAACAAAGCCGCCAAAGATTGACAAAAGATGTATAGGTTCGTAAGTGTTTGCGTAACTGCTTCGTGAATCTGGCCCCAGGTCCCCCAGTAGGTTATTAAGGACTCTAAGAGCTGATGTGACTCATAGATTAGGAGGTATCTCAGTGCAGCTAGCTACAAGAAGCCACCTTTCAACCCCTCCAGAAAAGGGCATCAACAAGAAATTACGGTAAAAATACAGAGCAGAGCACAGATGTCAACAGGAAGGCTCTAAGGAGAGTCAAGAATGAGCACAACAGTCCAGAGAGAAATAGAATAATTGAAAATTACATAGTGGTAAATCATTAAAAAAATATTGGATATCATTGTAATTACTGAGGGAGTAGACACTCCTGATGTAACTAAATGTAACAAAAGATAGATACACCATATTCCCGCAGGGAACTATATTTGCTGTAGTATATCATTCAATAATAATATGCATTTGGCAAAAGAAGTTATCTTGAGGTTATCTTGAGATGATTTCGGGGCTTTAGTGTCCCCGTGGCCCGGTCCTCAACCAGGCCTCCACCCCCAGGAAGCAGCCCGTGACAGCTGACTAACTCCCAGGTACCTATTTACTGCTAGGTTACAGGGGCATAGGGTGAAAGAAACTCTGTCCATTGTTTCTCGCCGGCGCCTGGGATCGAACCCAGGACCACAGGGTCACAAGTCCAGCGTGCTGTCCTCTCGGCCGACCGGCTCCCTACTAAGTCTATTTACTAGCACCAAAACACAATGTAAACCTGGAGGGGGAAAGCTACCATTCACACAAACATTTATGCCATCAATATAATTTCAATACAAGTATTCTTACCTTTTGACAAACAGGACAAGTAAGGTTACTTGATTCTTCATGGTCATTAACCAGATGCTGGTGCAGAACATGGCGTTGAGGGAACGTTTCATCACAATATGGACACGGAATATCCTTTACTTCTAAGTGAGATTTCATGTGTACACGCAAAGTTGTAACAGACCTGAAAGCACAAAAAGCATGTATTCACAATGTATTTCATTCATAACATTTAGTTATTTAATGCCATTTTTTTATTCTTATAATATTGGGGCCACTAAGTACGAAAATAAAATGACTTGAACAGAACAATTCCACAAGGGCCGTGACGAGGATTCGAACCTGCGTCCGGGAGCATCCCAGACACTGCCTTAATCAACTGAGCTACGACATCTTCATGTCTGGGATGCTTCCAGACGCAGGCTCGAATCCTCGTCACGGCCCTTGTTGATTTGTTCATTTGATGCATCACGTTAGTGTGATCTCTGTGTGTGATGACTTGGGCACTTTCCTGAGCAGTGCACTCAACTGCTCCCTAATGCAAAATCCTACTATTTCTGGTTAGGATATTGTACAGTTAAGAGAGGATCAACATTCTGCACTGGCAAAGGAAGGAACTTTCCAAGCTGTTTCCACCTGGTCATACTGATGGCTAGGGAGACACTTCAATCCAGCCCACTGTAATTACCCAAGTGTAGTTACCAAACGAGAGCTATGCACATGATGTCCCATCTTCTCAGCACCTTTTGTCATATAACGCTTTGAAACTACCGATGGCCTTGGCCTCCACCACCACCTCACTTAACTTGTTCTGTCTTCTACTGTTTAGGAAAGTGAATTTTCTAATATTTTTTTGGCAGCTTTGTTTTTAAATCATGAGCATTCATATAAAACTCAAAGCCTTTCCAAACTTTACTTGGCATTGTAAGGACCATCAAGTGGTGTCCTAACTACCAAATGGCCAACTAGATCACTACCCCCAACCACTTCCAAGTGAAAGTATCACCACAAAGTTCATTTGAAAGCTTAATTTCCTTCAGAGGGTGCAAAGTCACTCAAGGTCTAGCACATTTGTAATGACATTGCTGTGGCTCCAGGAAGCAACTAAGGTGGAGCCTTGATAAGAAAACAAAACTAAATAAACAAATATTTATCCAATCATATTGGCGTTTGCCTTTCCATTGGAGACTTTCAGCGCTGTGGAGAGGTGGGACCTGCTGCATGGGGTTATTGTGAGATGATTTTGGGGCTTTAGTGTCCCCGCGGCCCGGTCCTCGACCAGGCCTCCGCCCCCAGAAAGCAGCCCGTGACAGCTGACTAACTCCCAGGTACCTATTTACTACTAGGTAACAAGGGCATAGGGTGAAAGAAACTCTGTCTATTGTTTCTCGCCGGCGCCCGGGATCGAACCCGGGACCACAGGATCACATGTCCAGCATGCTGTCCGCTCGGCCGACTGGCGACGAAGTAACAGCTTCTCCTCCATGTCAACCTACCCTGGCTTTGCGCCCTGGAAAGGCCATTCCAGACCGACAACCAGAGCGCAACTCCATAGTCTCCTATGACTGATGGATGCCTACTACTACACAAGGAAATATAAAACCAGGCATGTGGCATCAAGTAATTATCAAAAGAAGGCACCAAACCGACATGTGGCATCAAGTCGATACTAACCGGAACTCTTTACCACACTCCTCACAGGGTATGCCACTTTCCTCCTCTGTGGTCCTGGGCTGGGAACGTCTACCAGGTCTTTTGTTTAAATAATTTTTGCTCTTCTTACTAATGTTGGCTGGAAACTCCATTACCTGAAGTAAAGTTAGTTATAATGTGAGGTTAATCACATCACAATGAGACACTACTAGTAAGACAAAATCAGCCTCAATTATAAATGTAGTGAGCAAATTACCAGAATCACAAGAAAAAGATGGATAAATCATGCTGAATGTAACACATATCAGGAATAATGTATATGCATACATATATGTAAACATACATGGGGTAACTCAAATGGAAGAAGTTAGTAAAGGATTGGAAAAGTGTAGAAGAAATATAGGAAACATGAACTAGTTGTAAAGGAAAAAGAAATCATCAAAGAAGTATGTATAGATATCAAAAACGGAAATGAGCAACAAGAAACAGACATTGGGTAAGCAATTAGGAAAGAACTGGTTACCAGCAATGAATTAGTACAAAAGACTTTAGATAGAATTAAGTTCATAATCATTTTTGGGTGTTTGTTAAGGAAATACCATCTCGGGGTGGACAGAGCAACAGAAGAGGAAAAAAATAATTGAGAAAATTGTAAGTTTAGAAGTAGATCTCACAACAAATGAAAATGTCCGTGACTTTTAGGAGAATAGGCAAATATGTAAAGGGTCAGACTTACCCCTTAAGGGTGATGTTAAATGGAGTGAAACAAATGACAGAAGTCCTAAGAAATGGCAGGAAATTGCAGAATGATGAGGATGGGAAACTATGGTCATTAATATGAGATCCTTCAAAGGAAAACAGAGAAGCTGAAACTGGACAGTGATGAAGCAAAATGTTTAAATGAAAGTAGGAATGAAGAGAAAAGTAAGTTTTTTCCCCACAAAGTAATAAAGATCAAAAAGTCACTGAAATTTTACACAAAGCTAACCAACAAAACAATTAGAAGTAAGGGAAACAAAGGGCATAGGAAGAGGGGAACTAGTACCTGGAAAATTGACTATACTAACAGAGATGGGATAAGGTAAAAAATATTGGAGTAAAATTATAAAATGGTCAAACTGACAATCATTAATGCCTACAGTACACCTGTAATCAACATGGACAATCGACGAGTTAGATGACAAAAAGAGATGGCTTATAATGATCATGAGAGACATTATAATAAGAGCGGATAAAGATAAATCACAATTGTTGGTACTACAATTTGGCAAAATCAATGAGACTGGGAGACCTATGAAGCAAGAGCAGAGAACATTTGTACTAACAGATTCATAAACTTCATCCTGGAGACTTTAATACATCACCACATTAAACAAGCAATGAGAATGAAAGCAGGCGATGCTCCATACATGCTGGATCACCAGAAAAGAAGAAGAGATATTTGACTTTCAGTACCTTCCACACTCACGTAACAGCAACTATGTCTCACTGAAAACAAAATATGCCATGCATTATAATCTAGATGAGCATGGAGAAAGGGAAATAGTAGAAAAACTTGATTTTTAAGAGAAAGAGGAGAATAGGGAACTTCAAATGATTTTACAGATATCTTTATGTACAAGTATCTTAGCAGATAAATGGAAAAAGGCAAACATAGTTCGCAATTTACAAAATAATAACAGAAAAGATCCTCTAAATTACAGACCTGTAACATTAACAAGTGTGGTAGTGAAAACACTAGAAAAATAATTAAAGCCAAATGGATAGAGCACCTGAAAAGAAATGATAGAAGACAGACAGTATGGCTTTCGGACAGGGAGATCCTGTGTAACATACCTAAATGGTTTTCGGACAGGGAGATCCTGTGTAACATACCTAAATGGTTTTCGGACAGGGAGATCCTGTGTAACATACCTAAATGGTTTTCGGACAGGGAGATCCTGTGTAACATACCTAAATGGTTTTCGGACAGGGAGATCCTGTGTAACAAATCTAAATGGTTTTAATGACAGCCACAGAGAATTTACAGGAAAGAATTTTATTTCATCAAAGATTCTAATTATCACTGAAATATGATGCATAATTATATGAGCAATTTTTTTTGGGGGGAGAAACTTACTACAATGCTGTAGTGCTTGAATGAAGGTGAAGGAAAGACCCAATATATGTATAAATGCACTAAAACCCAAGTTTTTAGATATAACCTACATCCTTTCACAAGGCTCATACAATGCTCATTGTATAAACACCTTGAGAAAGGAAGTAGGTTACATCCAAAAATTAGATTTGTAATACAGTGTGTTCTCACTTGAACGAACTATATGGGGGAGAGACCGATTCATTCCACCGCGGAATTTGTTCTACCAGTCATCCCCAGGCTGTCCCCCCCCCCCTCCATATTAAAAGAACAGAGGTCCTACATCCAATATAAACAAAAATCACAGAAAATCTATTTGTTATGCAATTATCATTTTGAACATAGTACATGATAGAACCATCATTAGTGAATAATTCCATATCAAAATCATAACTATGTGACTATTATTGGTGGCCACAAATATGTGATGGCATAAGCCAACTGTATCAGTCTCTATATAAATATTCATAAAAATTCCATTTATTATGAATTCTTAATTTTCGCTTTGGCATTTGATGGAACAATCACTTACAAACAATTTAGTATACAAATGCCACAAATATGAGCATTATTGAATCCAATCAAGCGAAATCACGGAATTTTCTCAGCAAACTGATGAGAGGAGTGGCCACTGGTGGTCAGGTGCAGGAGGGGGTGGGGGAGAGGTGTTGTAGTAGGGGTAGGGGGGATGGCGGCCAGACCTTGGGCCAGGCCAGGCCTCGGGCTAGGCCAGGCCAGACTAGGCTTCAGGTCAGACCAGGCTTCATGCCAGGCCAGCTCAGACTTCAGGTCAGGCCAGCCGAGGCTTTAGGTCAGGCCAGATCAGGCCAAGCAAGACCAGGCCAGGCCAAGCCAAGCCAAGCCTAGCCAGGTCAAGCCTAACCAGGCCAGACATTCACTGTCTAGTCTGACCCACCCACCCTAGCCTCACTGCAGGCTTTCAGTATCATGGAATACATTGTTTCATATCAACAATTACATAGTCAGATACATCCAGCAAATAATAAAATGAAATAAACAGTTTATTAATATGAATAAGGAATACACAAAGTAACACACATACTGTATAAGTACAGTATTAATGAGTACAAATGTTGATGGGTAGAGGCTAGCTGCCTCCCCCAGCCCCCCCCCCCTAATACAATATGATAGAGCGATGTGTTACAAACAACTGAAATGGTAACATTTTCTTAGCTACCACCACATGCCTCCTGACAACTTCTACCACTGACACCACCTGCCATCAGTGACATTCACTACTAACACCACCTGCCTACCCTGACAACAACTTCCACTATTTGCCTCTCCTGACAACTTCACCACTGACACCACATGTCTTCCCTGACACCACTATCACTACCTACCTACCCTGACAACTTCTACCACTGACACCACCTGCCTTCCCTGACAGCTTCCACTACTGACAACACCTGCCTCCCCTAACAATAACTTCCACCAAGTACCTCCTGACAATTTCCACCACTGACAACTTAACCACTGACACCACCTGTCTTGGTCTCGGTGACTGCTTGGACGAACAATCCTCACTTAATTGAACATTCCGATAACTAGTACTGAACTCAATTTGTTCGGACCATCCAAGAATTCACTGGAATGGGGCTCGTTAGAGTGAGGATGCACATACATATACAGTGGAATCTCGAGTAGCAAACATCCCTCTACAAATTTTTTAGTTTACGAACTCAATTTCTTCTGAAAATTTGAATTGGGTTACGAACTTTGCCTCGCCTTGCGACTTTGTTGATACACGTATGGGTTGACTGAGTGCGTGGTTCCTGGTGGCACGGGAGACCGCTCTTCAATTTACCAGTGCCTCCCGCTTAGTGACGATCGCGCTTGAATTCTTTGTAAAGAATTTCATTGCTTTTATGCATTTTTGGTTTTTGAACATTGAGTAATTATTATATATCATGCCATGGGTCCCAAGAAAGTCAGTAGTAAGGTTCAACCTAAGAAAATAGCTGTGAAGCAGTAGAAGATGACCCTTCCTCATTAAGAAAATATGAGAAATATTGAAAGAACTGCAAAGTTTTGTTGAAAAATCTCACCTAGATAAAGCTGTAGCAGGCCACTGTATTGACCTTTTTAATGACAATGTGATGTCTCACTACAGACAAGTGTTAAAACGTAAGGAAAAAACAAGTGTCTTTAGACAGATTCTTAGTAAGACAAGCAAGCAGTGAGCCACAACCAGGTCCTAGTGGTATGCCTGCAAAACGTAGGAGAGAGAATGCCCCAGAGAAGTCTTGAGGTTATCTTGAGACGATTTCGGGGCTTTTTAGTGTCCCCGCGGCCCGGTCCTTGACCAGGCCTCCATCCCCAGAAAGCAGCCCGTGACAGCTGACTAACACCCAGGTACCTATTTTACTGCTAGGTAACAGGGGCATAGGGTGAAAAAAACTCTGCCCATTGTTTCTCGCCGGCGCCCGGGATCGAACCCGGGACCACAGGATCACAAGTCCAGTGTGCTGTCCGCTCGGCCGACCGGCTCCCCCTGCCTGTCATCACTGCCCGATGGTATAAAGGAAGGAGACTCCCCTTCTTAACACTAACACCTCATCTCCTCCCTCCCCCTCCTCCTCACCATCTCCATACGCCAACAAGTCATCAATAAAGGTAAGCTATAACTTGTACATACTGTACTATAGTACAAAATATTTGTGTGTATTACGTATGAAATTTATTTTGAATTAATATTTTTGGGAGTATGGAACGGATTAATTGAATTTACATTATTTTTTCAGGAAAATTTGTTCCGGGTTTTGAGTTTTCAGCTTACAAACTGTCTCTGGGAACGGATTCAATTTGAAAACCAAGGTATCACTGTATTCGATCTTTCCTTCACCTTAAATAATTTTTTCACTACAATACAACAATTTAAGATGTATCAACACAAAACAGTACAATACAGAATTTACTAAAAAGCAATAAATTTAAATTCGTAGTTGAATTTCTACAAACATATCTTTTATTAGGGATATAACTTTGAGTCAATAACTTAAGCAGTTTCAAGAAATGTCTTGAGAAAACTCAATACTCTTTACCAATGACTTGTGTGGCAAGCAATATTATGTAAAACTGATGATTGAGAACATTAAACTGTAAAAGTTTACATTTTAACTTGCATACAACCAGTCTATTATAAATCCCCCTCTGCAGACATATTTATGAAGGATGTCGCATGCATCACCCAAGTGCAAGTGCTATAAACGGTGTACATATAAAATAAAATAGACTATTTTATTTAGACAAACTACACAATAAACACAAAGCAGTTTTATAAAAACTATAGTTTTATAAAACTATAGTTTTTAAAAACTATAGTTTTTATACTGACAAAATACAGCAATTCACGGAAATACTTACATCATCCTCTTCAGAGAGCTGAATCAAGGCAAGAATATACACCAATGTTAGCATACAAAAATAACAATGATAATTAGTGCCACTAAAAATAATCTAATGTAATTCTTGCAAAAAAAAAAAAATCTTGGGTAAGGACTTAATTCTGTAATGGCTTGTCTGTTTACATTTACACTAATTTTTTTTTAACAATAGGTTAACTGCCCCACTCAAGAGACATGCAAAAAATCCTCGTCTCTCCGGGCTGAAAGAAGAGCATACCTGGAGACTAAATTAAACGCAATGTAAGTTATGTGTTACTGCAAGTTTCACTCATTAAAATTCGAGCCTGGTTCATATAGTTCTAAAAATTTACCTCAATTATTTCTTCTGATCCATCTTCATCATACGTCTCCTCATTTTCACATTCTTCTTCTTCTTCATCTTCTTCTGTGTTTCTGTCGTGTTTCATCTGTATTTAAACAAATACATCTTGTTACAATACAGTCTCTACAAACATACTCTATACATACTGAACAGCATATCACATACTCTATACATACCAAACAGCATATCACATACTCTACATACCGAACAGCATATCACATACTCTATACATAACAAACAGCATATCACATACTCTATGATATGCCGTACATTACATACTTAACTGGTTAATAAAATCAGAATGTTCAAAACTTGCCTGTGATCTTAGCACCAGATACTATACAACATTTAATTACAAGTGTCTCTTCAGAGCTAGGACCCTCTTCCTTGCTCCCAGAGCCTGAGTCTGGTGGCCTATCTATGATACAAATTATTCACCATGTTCTAGGTGACAATTCACTATAAGATCTTGTAAACAATGTTTGAGTGTTCACTCATAGCCTGGTCTAAGGACTTTTCTGATGATTGCCTCATCATTGAGGCTCTGTCTTTGTAACCTTCATGCCCACATACTCATGACAGCCAAGTTGATTCATAAACTCCAGCAATAACTTGCCTGTTATCTAAAGTTATCTAAAGTTATTTAAAGTTTACACTGTTGTTCCAGCAATATGTTTTATATTTAATGGCAGATGAGTTGAAGAGTTGTAGACCTCTAATGTTTACACTGTGCTCTCTAATTGGGTTCAAGTTTCTCATGCCCAAGTCTGCCTGCCAAAATGTCCCCAGAAATCCTATCCAATAATCATTCCAAACAAGGAGCTTGAAAATAAATATTTGTCTAAAAGTGAGGTCAGTAGCACTCCTGGTTGCAATTCTTTTAACCATGTCGTGGCATAGTCGACTAAGGCGCATCTGGGATCATCCCGAGCGTAAGTTCGAACCCTCATCACAGCCCTTGGTTGTTTATTTGATGCATCTGGTTGATACCTGGTTGATGGGGTTTTGGGAGTTCTTCTACTCCCCAAGCCCGGCCCGAGGCCAGACTTGACTGGTGAGAGTTTGGTCCACCAGGCTGTTGCTTGGAGCGGCCCGAGGCCAGGCTTGACTTGTGAGAGTTTGGTCCACCAGGCTGTTGCTTGGTGTGGCCCTCAGGCCCACATACCCACCACAGCCCGGTTGGTCCAGCATTCCTTGGAGGAATAACATCACGCTATTGTGATTTCTGAATAAAGCAATAGTTGTTTGTATCAAGTAATATTGTACTGACTTACAATCATTTGACTAGTGGTGGAACAGGAGCCATTAGTTTCACTCCCGTCTTCATCATCTTCATCCTCGGGGATTTCCTCGTAAACAACTTCTTGAACAATGAGTTTTTTTCTGAAATAGAAACAATGCTCATTTAACTGAAGTCTCCGTCTCATTTGTTTTGTATGAGAGGTCATGTACAGTAGTGAGACTATTGTAATAAACTGACAAGATATAGTTTGGGGAGGACTAAATCATTGAGCACATTGTAGTCTAACCATTTTCTCTCAAAGCTCCACCCCATCAAAGTGTAAAACAGGATAATAATAATGCATGTGTATACAGTACGTATGTACGGGTTCCTACCACAGAATAATTACAATTTAACCATCAAAATTTTAAACAAATATTTCCAAAATAATCTCACCAAGAGTTGGCTGACCAGAGCCAAATCTGACCTGCTAATTTTTCAACACTACTTACCTACAGGAAGCCAGTGTGGTCAGCATAAGACATCATTATAAAGACCCATTAGGAAATGTAGATGTTTATCTCACAGAATGTTTGGTAATATGTTTATTGTTTGTGATGTGTGTATATGCATGTATTAACACGATGTACTGAACGGGGTGAGAATAGCTTGAGCTACCTCATCCCTTTGTGTGGATTTTACCTCAACAAACTTATTTCAATTTCAAGACCCATTTAAATTATGACACAAGCCTCTATACAGAGGCACTTGGTTCCTTTTGTAAAACAAAAAGCCTCTGCAGCACAAACCAAGTCACATCATGTTGGTAGAAAGAAGACTGCAAGGACTCAAGGTCAAATCTATGTCACTGGTCCGCCATACTAGCACAGGTAGATCTGGAATTGTATCAGGTCATTTGGCCAGAAGATGAGGCAACAAAGGCTGAAGTGACTACAGATGCACAAGCAGAATCACATGGCACAAAAAGCACATCAGCTTTCTGAGAACCATATGCAGCTGCATGGCTGAAGGAGAGAGCAAAGAACCTCTTTGCCTCTGAAGGAAAGAACCTCTGAAGGAACCTCCACATGTTCAAGTGGAGAAAGAACCTCTGAAGGAACCTCCACATGTTCAAGTGGAGAAAGAACTTCTGAAGGAACCTCCACATGTTCAAGTGGAGAAAGAATCTCTGAAGGAAAGAGCAAAGAACCTCTTTGCCTCTGAAGGAACCAGCAAAGAACTTCTTTGCCTCTGAAGGAACCTCCACATGTTCATGTGGAGAAAGAACCTCTGAAGGAAAGAGCAAAGAAATATGTGGGAAATATGTGGGTTCATGTGGAGAGAATCTACAGTCACAGAGAAAGTGACCTAGATGAACCCCCCACCTTTAAGAAATGCACCACTGACAAGTTGAGTAAAGATGGACTGCCAAGAAGTCTTGAGGTTATCTTGAGGTTATCTTGAGATGATTTCGGGGCTTTAGTGTCCCCGCGGCCCGGTCCTCGACCAGGCCTCCACCCCCAGGAAGCAGCCCGTGACAGCTGACTAACACCCAGGTACCTATTTACTGCTAGGTAACAGGGGCATAGGGTGAAAGAAACTCTGCCCATTGTTTCTCGCCGGCGCCCGGGATCAAACCCGGGACCACACAATCACAGTCCAGCGTGCTGTCCGCTCAGCCGACCAGCTCCATCTTTACAAGATGGACTTCTTGGCAGATCATCTTGAATTTCACTGCCAGCCACAAACACACTAACTCGAGCACATCAATTTTGACAAGTGCAAGAGTTGGGAGGCCAACAGCCTTCACTTTCATGATCTAGACTAAGAAGAAACCCCAACTGTTATTTCTAAACAACAGAATTAGTTATGCAGTGAAATGAAAGACCATGGCTTCTGGCAGAGAATGGATTGCTGAACACATGTCACATACAATACTAACCACATAAGGTTTGAAGAGGGCTGCAGCTGGGATTTCAAGAGAAAACAAGAAGCCAAACTGTTAACCAAACCACACACTAGAAAGTGAAGGGACGACGACATTTCGGTTCGTCCTGGACCATTCTCAAGTCGGCTGTGATTCGATTCGAGTCAATTCACAATCGACTTAAGAATGGTCCAAGATGGACCGAAACGTTGTCGTCCCTTCACTTTATAGTGTGTGGCTTGGTCAACATATTTCAGCCACATTATTGTGACTCCTCGTCTGCACAAGAAGCCAAACTCACTCACAACACACAGTTCCTGGCTAGAAAGCACTGCTGAATGCTAGATGCTCAAATGAGAAAGCCATTAAGGTTAATCAACACCAACACTCGGATGTCCCAGAGCTGATACTTCCATATCCCCATCATAATCAACCTAATAAAGGCTTCCCTTGCCTTAGAGTTGTTTGAAACTATGATGTGATAAAATTCACTCATTATTACGTAAGAATTAGTGTATACATAATGTTATAAAGTATCTAACATTGCAAATCGTTAAAATATTTGATTAATATATGCAGTACAGAACAGTACCATACCATGCAGTAATCTGTTTTCATGTGCCTATCTTTCTGGGTGTCTTTCCTTGGATGGTAGCAAAGATGATAAACTTTAAATGAAAAGTGTTCATATACCATCACTTCCTGTGCCTCTCTGAGGGGGGCCAGGTTCTGGCTCATGGTCCCTGGTAGGCCAATAGAACTCAGCAACTGACGGCACCTAGTGGTGTATAATTACCTAAGTGTAGTTACAGGATGAGAGCTACGCTTGTGGTGTCCCGTCTTCCCAGTACTCTTTGTCGTATAACACTTTGAAAGATTAAGTGTGGCACTTAATCGGTGTAATAACTTCAGAGAGCTGACAGGGCTCCCCCCCCCCCACCAGAAATGCAAAATGTAATCTAAAACAATGGTTAATGAAAACAGTGTTTAACTTAGCTTCAAAATAAGCCCAATATGAAGGGCCTACCTCAATTAGAAGCAAAGTTATGATATTTTGTTGTTGAGCTTGTAAGCAAAAGTTGTACAGGTATTTTTATCACACTGGCAACCCTCCTGTATCAAGCATCACTGGTGGCTAAGATTTTGCATACGTTACTTCACGTATCTAACATCCTACCAAATTTCAAGTAAATCTGAGATGGTCAGGTTGGGAATTGTGATAATTTGGCACGGAATGACCCACAGTTTTTAAGGAACTGTTCATTTTTCCTTATCTATCGAGGCAGCTTTTACACATTCCACACATCTCAATCTGAACTGTGAGCAAGAGTCAATATCATAGCAAAACTATAGTTTCAAAAAGTAGATGAAGCAACTTTTATTAAAAGATTATAATTACAAATAGAAACCTCTCCTCTCAAGGTGGCAGTCTGATTAATAAAACAATAAAATATAATTTACACTAGGGGCCAGATTCACGAAAGCACTTAAGCAAACACTTACGAACCTGTACATCTTTTCTCAATCTTTGGCGGTTTTGTTTACAATTATTAAACAGTTAATGAGCTCCGAAGCACCAGGAGGCTGTTTATAACAAAAACAAGAGAGGAATGGGAAGTTTTCATGCTTGTAAACTGTTTAATAAATGTAACCAAAGCCGTTAAAGATTGAGGAAAGATGTACACATTCGTAAGTGCTTGCGTAAGTTCTTTCGTGAATCTGGCCCTAGGAGTTTACCTTATTCTAACGTTCTTTTTGGCTGGTGGGCTGAAGGTACTTGATGGTGGACAAATAAATCCATCTGGCTCAGCATTCATTATGGTAGGACCAGAGCCTGACTTCTTAGAAGGGGGTGGGATCATCATCATTTCCTCTCCAATAAGCTGTAATTCTACATCGACTAAATCATCAGCATCTTCTGATGGCAGAACTCTCTTAGGTCTCCCTCGGCCTCTGCCACGGCTTTGGAAATATTGTCTGAAAAACAAAATCTATTAAGCGACCAAAACACAAGAGAGGGCTGCCACACCCAGCCAGCCCTCCCTCACTCCTTCAACACCTAACTCACAAACATTCTCCTCCCACAATACTGTTTGTGGTTTTATTACACTATATACACATGTTATATATAAGTATCTACATGTTTTATTCACCATAACTATACAAATAAGCTGGTATGATGTCCAAACAGCATAGTGGCCACCATACACTTGAATGGTGGCTAATACACTGCATGACAAGTCACAAAGCAGCCAGTCAATGAAGCTACCTCCCTCGCCACAATGGCTTCTCCTAACATACTCCTTTTGCTGTTATTACACTCTATATACATGTTATATATAAGTATCTACAATTGTGTTCACCAAAGTGAACCACTAAGTCGGTATGGTGAGTCCCAAAAAACAAAAGTGGGCCGCCACAACCAGCCAGCCCTCCCTCATTCCAACACCTAACTCGCCAATATTACTCCTCCCACAATACTGTTTGTGGTTTTATTACACTATATACACACGTTATATATAAGTATCTACATGTTTTATTCACCATAACTGTACAACTAAGCAGGTTGCTGAGAGACGACGCTACCTACCTCCCTCCCTACTCCTCCTGCCACCGTACTACGCACATCATTAATTCTCACCACGATCCTGCTATTATCAGAATCCTGATCACTAAATTCTGTAAATGAATAATTTTCCACAAGTTTATTTTATAAAGAAACATGGGAAGTAATTTGAAGATTCTTAGATGGACAAAATAATGACAAAATAAATAATGACAGTGTGCTGTTGCTAGTGCTGAGAACATCTTGAACAGCATTGATTCACTGATATCTGAACATTGTACAATGTCTATCACAATCTGTAATGCTACTGTAATGTAGTAGCTCTTCTGTAATGCTATCATTGCTAAATAATACCAGTTACATATATATTTTGACTTTTTTAGGCGATGCTGTGGTCACAGGCTGAACAGCAGTGCTGTTAGCTCATGCTATATGCACCAGCCTTGGTTGTTCACTCAGTACTAAGGCTCTCACACCTGGGAATGTTGCCCATAATTTTCTTTTTAAATGGTGCCTGTTTACAAGAGCCCTGAGGAAGCTGATGCGAACTCTGTGTAGCCATGGGAGTTTTAAATGCTATGCTATACCTACAAGAGCTCCGAGGCGCAGTGCGCACCACCCATCGAGCCTCAAGGCGTGTTGCGCAATGTAGTGGTTAAGGTTAGGTTAGGTTTCGTTTAGGTCGGTTAACTACCCAGTTAGGTTTGCACTACATCTAGGTTCTCTCTAATTGTGCCTCCTCTCTAAATTAGGTTAGGTTAGGCACTGATTTCTAGTTCAGTTTCGAATCTTCTTTTGAACCAGCTCTTACAAGGTGGTCCTTAAGATTCTTCCCTCTCTTCCAGGCTATCATAGGTGGGAGCAATGGGAATGCTGTCCAAGCTGGATGTTCACCATAGGTCTCCTTCAGCCAAACCCATAGCCTTTTCAGTGTGCCCACAAAGAAGCCTGCCATCTACACTCAAATTGTTATTTTAAATATGTATACTGCATAGTAATAGTCAAACATCAGTAGAAGTAGTACTGTAGTGAAAATAAATAACCAAATAGCAAATAAAATCTTTTAAAAAGAGCATTTGACTATCCAGGGGATAGATGCAACACATCAACAGCTAAGGTAAAAATTAATTTTATATATATATATATATATATATATATATATATATATATATATATATATATATATATATATATATATATATATATATATATATATTAATCCTTTTATGTGACATGGTATCAATGTGTGTGTGCAAATACATATTCTATCATTTGTGCTAACAAAAATAATAAATCTGGATATTATGATGTCCATATCAACTAAATGGGTTATGTTTCAAATAATTTGTAAATATGGGATTCTATTGTACATACTATCTAAAGTCCAATGATATAGTTTCCAAATGTTGTGGACAGGAAGCCTATTACGTTTATTGAGTTCCCTATCCAAGGAAGAGTCCACCTGAAGGTCACAAAACCAGTTACTATCAAAATCAAACTCATCAAAATCAAACTTATCAAAATCAAACTTATCAAAATCAAACTTATCAAAATCAAACTTATCACAATCAAACTTATCATAATCAAACTTATCACAATCAAACTTATCACAATCAAACTTATCAAAATCAAACTACGATTAACTACGTGGGACATCATATACGTGCACTGCATAATGTCAATGTTAATAACATATGGGACTAATATTAAAACAAATAGCAGCAATAACTGAATGTATAACAGTCATGTGTTTTACATGTTTAATAAAAAATCTTTTTTTAAATGGTGTCTGTTTACAAGAGCCCTGAGGAAGCTGATGCAAAACCTGTCTAGCCGTAGCTGTGTAAAGCTTAACGTTGCACAACGTGCCTTGAGGCTCTCGATGGGTGGTGCGCAATGCGCCTCAGAGCTCTCGTAGGTATAGCATAGCATTTAAAACTCAGACTAGTTACTAATTAGTAAAATGAATGCAGACATCACTGATGTATCATAGACTTTTCTAATAGAAGACTTAGTATGCATAGAAGAGGGTCTAAGGCTCTTACCTGATACGTTGAGCCTTTTTAACCGGTGAGGGACAATACATATCTTCTGGTTCGGACTTAATGTACACTGCATTGTCAATTGGTTCTTCTTTGATCTGCACAAACTCGTGTATACCCCGACCTCTCGGACGTCCTCTGCCCCTTCCTCTCGACCCACTTGGCCTTCCACGACCTCTACGTCTAGTGGGCAACTCTTTGTGCATCTCTGTTCAATGAAGTCAAGCTACATGTATAATCCCAAACCATAACAATGATTACACTTAACAACCAGCAAACTGATGTTGTAAAAAACAGATGCTCTCAAATATACACTGTAAATTTGTCAAGGCTTCACATAATAGTCAAACATTCTGAAATCTAATAATACAACATTAAGTAGTGTACTACCGATTTAGTACTTTATACAGAACTGGATACTTTTTGAACTTATGTTAAAAAACTTAAGTGAAATTGTCTGCATAGGAAAGAACAGACAGATAGTAATGTGGAGCCTCGCTCAATCATTCCGGGACTCATAGTAGTATTGTGTCCACTCTCATCATCCTGTGTCCCATCTTGAGGTTATCTTGAGATGATTTCGGGGCTTTTAGTGTCCCTGCGGCCCGGTCCTCAACCAGGTCTCCACCCCCAGGAAGCAGCCCGTGACAGCTGACTAACACCCAGGTACCTATTTTACTGCTAGGTAACAGGGGCATAGGGTGAAAGAAACTCTGCCCATTGTTTCTCGCCGGCACCTGGGATCGAACCCAGGACCACAGGATCACGAGTCCAGCATGCTGTCCGCTCGGCCGACCGGCTCCCATGGTGAAAAGGAACTTTTCAAATGATCGTGTCACCTACCTGGGAATGGAAGACAGGGACGATAAAGTTAAATCCACCACAAAAAAAAAGGAGACAGCTTGCTATGAAACCAGAGAGCAAAATAAATCAAACCCACAGCTCTACTGAGAAATAACTGAAAACACAAGAACACCAGTCATTTATCTCCTAACTACTCACTATGACCATCGCTAGATTGCAACACCACCACCACAATAGTGTCAGAAAAACCAGTCAACTTCACTCAGTGCCCAAGCCACCCAAACATCCACAGAAAGTCGGAACTTTAAAGGCAGGAACGGGAGCAATCGGGGAGCCTTTCTGAGCAAAGCTACTAGTTACCTCACAAAACCAGCTCACAAAAGATACATTCCCAGAAGGGAAAACCCCAACATCAAGGCAACCAAGCAACCAAGGGGAAGGCCATCCCTGAAGATGGGCCAACAAGCTTACCTGAAGGAAAATAGGAAGCACCAGAAAGGAAAATAGGAAACACCAGAAAGAAACATTAAAACCAGAAACAAAGACCATAAAATACCCTAACAGGGCACAGAAGGATTAGCCCCCCATGCAAAACAGTCAGACTCCCATGAACTGAGAAACATGTAAAAAAAAAAAAAAAAAAAAAAAAAAAAAAAAAAAAAAAAAAAAAAAAAGAGCGTTGAATGTAATGAAACGCCATTTTCTGGACGAAGCCCTGGAGGCTCCCTGAAGCCATCTGAGCTGATATGTGCTGTATTAGTTTGGGTCATCAGTCACTTGGAGTTCTTATGCCTATCGAGAACCAGAGCCAGAACCTGGTACCCTCAGAGGAGTAGGGAGCAATGGCATACGACAATTTTTCAATTAAAGTGTTGTATTCCGCCATCGACCAGAGTGAGCATCCAGAAAGATAGGCGAGCCAATATTTATTTATTTATTTATTTATTTATTTATATATACACAAGTTCTTACATTTTGATACCGCCAGTAGCACGCATAGCATTTCGGGCAGGTTCTTAATCCTAATATTCCTGGGAATACGACCTGCTAAATCGTCTAACAACTAGGTACAGTACCTATTTTATTGTTGGGTAAACCGAGGATACAGTTAAAGATTGACATCCAGTAAATCCTCTCTGGCCACCCTTCCCTGATAGGATTCTGAGTGAGTTAGGACTTGGAGCAACAGCGGGACTAGGGGGAAAGAGGTACAGAAAACTCCACATCGACCAGTCCTGAGAAAACCATCTACCGCGACCGCCTCACAGTCGGGACACAACACCACTAACAAAAGGGAGACGCCGAGACCATGCTGACATGAAGAGCTCCACCTCCGGTCGGCCATACGTCTGATAAAGCCAATGGAAAAATTGTGGCGTTGCCCATCCACTTTGTGGAAAGAGGAATGAGAGGAATGATACTTATGGAGCACCTAGGGAAGGTCGCCCAAGATGCATGCAGCACCCATACTCTAAGACACCTGGCCACCACACCACAAACACAGCTGGAACAGCCACACAGGGCAAAAATCCCGAACAGGAACTTGAAGCCAGAGATGACTGATCTGACCGCCAGAACATCAGTTCAAGAACTGGGGTGGTGGGCCCAGGTGAACCGGCTCCCCACTAACGAGCGGGAGTGCTAGTTGGATGGTTATCTTGAGATGATTTTAGGGCTTAGTGTTGGATGAAGTGTTTCTTGTGTGTTTTCTTTCTTGGGGAGTTCTTTTGCTCTTTTTGGACTTGGTTGCAATTTTTACCAGATTGTGGTCTGTTTTGTTTCGCCTACCTTTCTGGGTCCTTCCCATAGTCGATGGCAATTATGACATACAGTACTGTACTGTAAATGTAAAGTGCTCATAGGCCATTGCCCCCCTGTGCCTCTGTGAAGGGGCCAGGTTCTGGCTCATGGTTCCTGGTAGGCATAAGAACTCCTATGACTGATGATGAACCCAAACTAATATAGCACTTGTCAGTTCAGATAGGGAGCCTCTGGCATTCACCACAAAAAAGGGCCAATAATTTGGAAATCCAGATTGGGTCTGGAATGATATGATTAGATTTTCAAGGGTGTACTGAATATCTGATAAAGAAAATGATAAATTGTAAAATTACTATACCAAGGTATCTATAAACCAAAACACTAGATAATCTGTACATTGCTTGGCACAAGTCATTTCAGGTTAAAGATATTCCGTTGCACAATATTGTACTGGTATATGTAATGTGAGAACAAATATAAATTTCTCACCTGGCATATTTTGATGCATCTGCATGTGATCATTGAGAAGAGAAACCTTGTTGAACTCCTTCTCACACATAAAACACACGAAGATACTTCCGTCCTCCATCTCATCGTTTTCTACTATAATCTCAGTCCCTTTTTTTGCCATTCCCTAGAACAGAAATATGAAGAATATTAAATTATTTATCTATGTTGTTTATATTATTACACTCTGATTATTAGTGCCAAACATTCTTTAAAACATTTGTTCCAATACTAATTACATATCAAAACACAACTAGAAACATAAAAACTATGGCAATATATAGAGCAAATATAATATACATTAGAACTGCCAAGGATTAACGCAGAAGACCTAAATTGAAGAATTCCTTCACTGTTGCCCACTGGCTTGATAGTTTATGTCATAAGGCATTTTCTTACTGTATGGTACTGTACTATAAAATCTGAATATGGAGTCAAAGACAAATTTATATAATTAAAAAAACCATGCGCATATACAGTAACCCAACTGAATTTCCTTTGGATTTTATATTACCACAATACAGTATTTATACCCAGTACTGGTACATTTATTGTATACAGTATATACAATAGAACCCAGAAAATCTGAACAGTAATAAATCAGAAGCCGCAAAGATTTGGAAAGTTTACTACATTGCTGAGTGAGAAGAAAGAGTGGCTATCTTGAGGTTATCTTGAGATGATTTCGGGGTTTTTAGTGTCCCCGTGGCCCGGTCCTCGACCAGGCCTCCACCCCCAGGAAGCAGCCCATGACAGCTGACTAACACCCAGGTACCTATTTTACTGCTAGGTAACAGGGGCATAGGGTGAAAGAAACTCTGCCCACTGTTCCTCGCCGGCGCCTGGGATCGAACCCGGGACCACAGGATCACAAGTCCCGCGTGCTGTCCGCTCAGCCGACCAGCTCCCCTGCAAGCAAGAGTTTTGTGCTGTTGTCACTATGTGGAAGCATATACCTGGTACAATACTGGATTCTGTATGCGCTTTTTAAAGTCACAAAAATACTGTTCTCATTATCGAGGATGGGAAGCCTGGTAGTATTATTGAGGTTACCATAGGTTCAACAACCTACCTTTTCCCAGTAAGCAACCCACAACAATTGCCTAATGTTTGGTTATCTATTTACTACTAGGTAAACAGAGCCATCAGGTGTAAGAAAATCTTTCCAAAAGTCTCCATTATGCACAGGAATCGAACTCAGAACTTGTAGATTGCGAGCTGCCTGTGCCTTAAATCAAACAATACCACCTAGAGTATGACTTAATCAACATAGAAGTGCTCTGCAAATCAAGGGTTCCCATGTGTAATGACCTTCCTAATCACATCAAAGACTGTCCTTCTCTCAACCAGTTTAAGAAACTAAGGACTACCTAATCAACTCTATATAACCTAAATAACCCAAGTTTTGCCATTATTGAACATTATTTACTGAACCTGTACAGCTACTGATATCCACTGTGTAAACATTTAATAACAAATGTATTCATTCTGTTTATTCTGTGAAAATTACTAATCTATTCTTCTACTGCAATTTTTCCTATGACATAAAAATGTTCATTTTATTCTTATTTCTTTAATTCAATTCCTTATTGTTTTTTATCTCATTTAGGTGTAAGTTTTAAATCTTTAGTTTTCTTCCACATTATGCCCATAACTGCATATTTCTGTATTTAGGCATTGTAATTTGCCTTACCTAGGAATCTTGCAATCTTCTTGTTTCTTTTGTACAGTATGTACTTTTGCTTAACCCCTGGACAGAGGCAACGGAGGCTATGGTTATACCTGCCTGTGTGAAAAAATAAAAATAATAATAATAATTACAAAATTATTAATTTGTATGCAAAATGAAAAACATGAAAAATGTGAATACTGTATTTATCGTTTCACTGGGCGGAGGCACTCTGGAAGGTGAACAAATCCACAAGGGCCGTGACGAGAATTCGAACCTGCGTCCGGGAGCATCCCATCCCATGAAAGGTTGCCTAGTAGCTGTTTCCCCTCCTGTCAACGCCCAGTCCCCGACTTTGCTGGCGCTTCCTGTTTCATCTGCGGGTATTTCACTGATCGTTTCTCGCTTGTTTATCTTTATTTACATCCACAGAGAGATATTATATCCATATTTGCATCATAAATGTAAAACCCAGATAATAATTGCTTAAATCGTCGTATGACGATGACCGCATTTCCCTACATTTATAACGATAACCGCACTGACCTAGTACACTTAACCATGACGTGCTAGCAGGTTTTTTTTCATGGGTCAATGTAAACTCCATTACATCCACAGAGAGCTATTATATCTATATTTGCACCATACCTGTAAAACCCAGACGATAATTGTTTAAATTCTCATATGATGATAACTGCATTATCCTGAGGAATCAACGTATGATGATAACTGCTGTCCAACAGTTAAATAAAAATTATCATTATTATTAATAAACACACAGAAATTACACTAATGTGATATATATCAGAGAAAATCCACTAGGACTGCGAGGTGGGCGTGAACCTACGACCCCGGCACTGCCAGTCGCATACTCTACCACTGGACCACCGCCCACTTGCAAAAGTCAACGGTGGTTTACTTTTACAAGTCAGCGGTGGTCCAGTGGTAGAGTATGTGACTGGCAATGCTGGGGTCGTACGTTTGCGCCACCTCACAGCCCCAGTGGATTTTCTCATTATTATTATTATTATTATTAATATAGCATATTTTTAGAGAGAAAAGATATTTCAGTACAAAAAGTCAATAATTATTTATCAGGTTCAGGTGCCTCATGTCTCTCAATGAAACGAAAACAAAATAATGTTAGTACTTTGTTAATTTTTAAAGATATATAACAAATGTTTCCTTCATTTGGTAAGAACTAATAGATGATTGCAAACCAAACAACAATTATTACCAACTGTTACAATGCAAATGTTACAATCATGGAAGGAAATGGAGTATACCATTGGATGCTGCAAACATTTGACAGATACACACAGAAAAATCTCATTGTCAACTGTCATAACATTTGCTACCATCTTGATTAAGAAAACTATCTTAAATTTAACAAATCTTTTCGTAATCAAATTCTTCAGGTAATTAGCTGGACATGGTAAGGGACGCCTACTGTCACATTTCTGTTTGTCAACAACAAATTTATGATCAATATGTATTTTGCCCAGTTTTCCAATTCCCAATGAAATTAATAAGAGCTAAATATTTTAATAAACAATTGATAACTATTTAAGCCGCTAATCATACCTTGTACAAACTCCTAGTTTTGCAGGCCTTCATTTCTGAAATTTTTAGAAAAATTAATCTTGACGTTTTTCATTTATTTATGGTGAGCATCTTGGCTCTAGTATGGAAGGTGATCACAGTACAGTATATTCTTCATGCTACTACCAAACAAAATGGATAAATATAATAACTTACAACTCATGGTATAATCCTTGCACTCGAAACAGCTCAGTATACGAATCCAAAGTTGACAAATTAATTGTAAGTGATTCCTTGTCATCCTTGACTGCACTCAGCTCCCCAAGGCATAACTGTGACCTGCTTGTCTCTCAATCTAGATAGATATAATGAAATAATCAATGATAGTCTGAGTTTGTCTCCTGCGAATTCCTTCCCATATTGGTCTCCAAATGCATTAGTCAAAATTTTTGTTCATAAAGAGGGAATTGATTACCAACTTGGACTGCCTTTGAGCAGCCTGAGGGTAATAATATTCTGGGAACAAATAAAATCTCATAGACTTGAGGCAAAGTGAAATTCACACCAGTTCCTCCATCTATCATCATTCTATTATGCAGGAAGAACCGCACGTCTATGGGTCATCCAATAATGTTAGCAGACTTCTAGATGCTACCACTGCTAGGCTTAGGCTCGGCCACAAGTACCTCTGGGAGTTTGTAACATCTGCTGATGTAGATTTGACTAAATGTAAACTCTGTCAGCAGAACTATTCGCATACTTTGTGTCATTATATAATGGAATGTGAACAAATTGCGGAATTCAGAGATAACACCATCAATGGGGTCCAAGAAATGTGTAAGCATTTCATTCATATTGATATGCTGCCAGGAATCTTAGCAAAGTATCCAAAATTTAATTACTGTAGGTTAATACATGCACATGACTGTAAATCTGCTGCCGAGTTGAGTAGGTGTGGGGCACATGACTGTAAAGCTGCCGCCCGGTTGGGTGGGTGTGGAGCACATGACTGTAAAGCTGCCGCCCAGTTGGGTGGGTGTGGAGCACATGACTGTAAAGCTGCCGCCCAGTTGGATGGGTGTGGAGCACATGACTGTAAAGCTGCCGCCCAGTTGGGTGGGTGTGGAACATGACTGTAAAGCTGCCGCCCAGTTGGGTGGGTGTGGAGCACATGACTTTAAAGCTGCCGCCCAGTTGGGTGGGTGTGAAGCAAGACTGGTAACTGTGTGACTCACCATAGATGTAAAGTGCCTTGTATAGTGACTTGTGAGCCTCTTGTTGAATTACTTGTGATATGAAATGATTATTGATATGTACAGTATATATATTTGTGTACATGAATATATATATGTACATGTCTATGTAATATTAACAATTGTCTAACTAGCTTTACAAGATTGTCACTAATCCTGACCTTAAATGACCTACAGCGTTGTAACAGAACCCATGGACACCATACTAGAAACATATATCTATTTGATATTTCAAGAGTATGACTTAACTAAACTAGAAAAGCTCTACAAATCAAGGACCCAAAATGTGGAATGACCTTCCCAATCACGTCAAAGACTGCCAATTTCTCAAACCTATCAGGGTTTTGAAATGGTCAAAATATTGGCAGATGCAGTTTAATGCTGATAAATGTAGTTTTGTGGCTAGGAAATGATGATAGAGTTACAAGATACGAGCTGGATGGTGTTGAGATTGCGAAGACGGATTGCGAAAGGGATCTGGGAGTTATGATTAGTAAGAATTTAAAACCAAAGGAATCAATGCATGAATGTTCGTAATAAGGCGAATAGGCCACTGGGATTTATTAATCGAAGCGTTAGTAACAAGACACCTGGTGTTGTTCTTCAGCTATATCTTGCTCTGGTTAGGCCCCATTTAGATTATGCAGTTCAGTTTTGGTCACCATACTATAGAATGGATATAAATTCACTTGAACGTGTCCAGCGTAGGATGACAAAGTTAATTCCCCAAATTAGAAATCTTTCATATGAAGAAAGATTAACAAAGCTTAAATTGCATTCACTGGAAAGGCGAAGAGTTTGGGGTGACATGATGGAGGTTTACAATTTGATGAATGGGCATAACAAACGGGATATTAATAGGGTATTAAAAGTATCAACACAAGACAGAACACGAAACAATGGGTATAAATTGGATAAGTTTAGATTTAGTTAAGACTTGGATAAATACTGATTCGGTAACAGGGTGGTTGATTTGTGGAACCAATTACCGTGAAACATAGTGGAGGTGGGGTCCCTCGATTGTTTCAAGCGCGGGTTGGACATGTATATGAGTACATCCGGAGTCTGCCAGTGCAGACCGCTTATCACATGTCTCTGTATGACTAACCATCCTGTGTGATGGGGATTTTATAGCATCACCTAGTTAGCTTTTTTGACACACTGTACTCCACTTCATATAGTCTAGGGTAGCTGCACTAATGCAGATGTACCTCATAACTAATAAAAAAAAAAAAAAAAAAAAAATGTATATGAGTGGGATTGGGTGGTTATAAATAGAAGCTGCCTCGTATGGGCCAATAGGCCTTCTGCAGTTACCTTTGTTCTTATGTTCTTATTTAAGAAAAAACTAAGTACTACCTAATCAACTCCATGTAACCTACCTTTCCTCCTAAATGTCAACCTATGTCTTGCTATTCTCATACTTAATGATTAACATCTAACATGTATAACTTCTGATATCAGCCGCGTATAAACTTAAAAAAAAAAATTGTAGTTCGTCTGTTTATTTAGTTAAAATTACTTATGCCGTTCTGTCGCAATTAGTTTTAAGTCTCGGCTTTTAAGTTTTTCTCAAATCTTGCCCTAAACATTGTCTATTAATGGCTTTAGGCATAGTATGTACTCACTCTATCTAGAAATCCAACATTCTGCCCGAAACGCTGTGTGTACTAGTGGCTTTACAAGATTGTAAATACTATGCTATGTATTCTCTCAAACCCAATGTACCTTCGTGTATATAAATAAATAAATTCTGTTTGTAACTCATTTTGAATGTACAGTATGTACCTTAACCTGAATAAAAATTATTATTATTATTACTATTACTTGCTTAGCTAAACGAACTAGCTTTGCGGGTTCTGCCCGAAACGCTTTGCGTAATAGTGGCTTAAGGCTTTGTATGTACTAGCTCTATCTATAAATCCATCAATCTTTGTAAAATCTCTTGTATGTATGTACCTTAGCTAAATAAACATTTATTTATATTTATTATAACTATGGGGTTCATGAACCCATTATGTGCCTCTGTAACCCTTTCCACCACCGCCCGTGGAATGGGTATGGGGGGTGCATAATCAAAATTAAATAAAAATGTTAACATATTATACCTTCATGACACCTAAGAGGAACAACGTTTTCTACAGTGTCCAGCTGAGTGCAGAGTGCACGCACTCTTTGCACTCAATGCAGCCAACTCACACACACCCAGCGTCACCGAGAACTACAGCCACCGAGGCTCCTTATCATCCTCCCCCTACACTCTACCACTTGAGTGTGGGTGTCAGAGAGTGCAAGAGTGCTCTATTGAGTGCGAGTGCTCCATTGAGTGCGTGAGGGTCACTGGTCGATGAGGACCGTAAACAATCTGGCCGCCACCAGCCCTCAGCCCCCCTCACACACCCTCTCCTCTCCCATTTACCCCTTCTCTAGCCCCTCAACCAGACCCGGAGACCCATGAGGCAGTAGCCACAAGACACACAGCGGGAGGGAACCAAGAATTTCAAGTGGAAACGTACGCGGGGAATGAGAGAAGCTGCAGTTGTATACAATTTTCGTTCACAACAAGCCAGAGACTGGCCCGTTGGTTCTCTCTGGCGAGGACCTGTCGGCAGCCACCTTCTTCTTCTCTCTCTCTATAAACACCTTTAATTTATAAACTCACTCTCTCTCTACTCTTCGCATCTACCGACTTTTTTAAAGTAATATCGAAGATTGTCCTTTTAAAGCGTTCCGTTTTCTATTGGGAATGTTTTAAAACATGGAAGAAGTTGGCTTGGAGGAGCAAGGATGGGGCCACCAGGCTCCACCACACTCTCTAACTTTCCCCTCATAATGCGTCTGCGTCGCTCTATCTCAACTCTCCTCCTCGCCCCCGCTAAATCTTTACTGCTAACCTTAACACACCACAAGTTCAGCTAGTTCAATGTTATGTCAGATTGTTTCCAAGCTATTGATTTATGCACACTTCGAGAGAAAACAAAAAAAAAAGGTTAGACCATTCATGCAACTCAATATAAACAAATCCATTTATACAAAATAAATAAATAAATAATAATAATATATATTATTATATATATAATATATATATTATTCAGATGCTTGGGGCTAGCTTCACGAAACTTTGCAGTGGCAATGGTCTGGGGTATGGGACAGACATAGGCTAGTTGGACAGTATTTTTAAAGCGGGATGGGGAGGCAAAATTGGTAAAAGATGACTGCCTGAGTCTTAGACTTCTTTACTTGAGAGTAATGAATGGTAATTCAGTACTAAATTCAAATATATGTCTGTTCAATGTTAAATGCCAGAAGAGGGATAAGGAAAGAAAGACGGGAGACGGGTGACAGGAGAAAGAGGGAAATGGTGGACGATGGGAGATTATCTAGAGTTATCTATTTCAGGGCTTAGCGTCCCTGCGGCCCGGTCCTCGACCAGGCCTCCTTTTTGTTACCCCCAGGCAGCAGCCCATAGCAGCTGTCTAACTCCCAGGTACCTATTTACTGTTAGGTGAACAGGAGCATCAGGGCAAAAGAAACCCTCCCCATTTGTTTCCGCCTCCACCAGGGATCGAACCCGGAAACTCAGGACTACGAATCTGAAGCGCTGTCCACTCAGCTGTCAGGCCCCTGTTAGATGGGGGCCCCTTGTCATTACACCATAGATGGGAGGTAATATACAACATACAGGTGATAATGATAAAAGGCAGACTTCTTCATTATAGAATCTGTAATCTAGCAACAACTGATGTTACAACATTCCTAATATCTATTTTGCTGATGGGTTTTCAAGCACTAATTGAACCACACAAAATTATCAATCTATTTTTCATTGTACACATAATTCTGTATTTGTGGAGCAACGCTAAGCAAGAGAGACAAGGCACTTTATTACACCATGAGAGATCAGCTCTTCCAAATTATTATCCTTCCCTTCACACCCAAGATGATTAAAGATCAAACTGTGCTTCGACTTGAGGCAAAGTATACCGGGAACTGTATAGGTGTCCAGAATAGCAGGATTACAGAAAGAACATGGCTATAATTTTGTAGAAGAGATTACCACAGGTACATCAGCAATCGGGAATAGAGGTGACATGGTCAGGTCAAAATGGATAATAGGATTGGACCCCATGATAGCAGTTCAGACACTCAACGATTCGTCATGGAACTCGACGCCCTGTACCTAGCCAGCGACCTGGACCCCATCATTGCCCTGGACGCAAGTGTCACAGCCTCCACTACCAGTCCGGAGACTACCACCAGGACGACCACGAGGTCGATCTCAACACAGACTCCAGAACCACCCAAGATCCGGGCGGCACAGAGGTCCCTCTCCAGCTCCCAACACTCCTACCATCACCATCTCAGCAGCCGCGCTAGCAGACGTGCTCTCTACAAATACTAACAGCACCATTAACCCTCCTGAAATAGCTTCTACCACTAATCCACGACACCTGAGCTTGCCTCAGGCTGTGAGGCGAATGACAAAACTACGAACTACGGATGTTACGGACTCCTTAGACGAGGAAATGTTAGCAGTAGCTCCTCAGCCGCACCACAAATACGACACCTACTTGGTACAAGACCTCCTCATAGAGGCCACCTCACCAAACTACAACGACATCACGGCTCAGCCAAAGGACAAACCGGAAGACCTAGAGGTCTACACTAACCCACCAGCTCCATAACTGGTACAACCGGCCCTCCGAGGCTGAAATCCACCATAGAGACCCCCATCCATCCCCAAAATTCCAGTATCAGATCTGTATCAAAATTGATACAGATAATGGCTCCAAAGAGCCTCCACTTACAGGCTTACCATAGTCCGTGCTACTTTGAACTTTTTGTTCCGAGCAGCTGAATCTAAAGCAACAAGCAACAGATAGTAGCCCAGTTACAGCCCCGCTCCTGTGCCAGGTAAGTCCACTACGGGCTCACCATAGCCCGTGCTACTTGTCCCGCTCCTGTGCCAGGTAAGTCCACTACGGGCTCACCATAGCCCGTGCTGTTTGGAACGTTTTCCTCCGAGTAGCTGAATCTAAAACAACAACGGATAGCAGCCTCAGTAGACGTTGAAATGTAAGTCTCGCCCTAATTACACACTCAGACCTTGACAAAACACTTGCCTTTGACAAAGATTACCACTAACGCACTAAAGAACGGTGGCGGAGTAATTTTAAGTGATTCGAAATCAGCTCTTCAGGCCCTTAAAAACCCAGCATGCAAAATAGATACTAGGAATGTATAACATCCATTATAAACAACATTATTAATGCAAAGAGTTTCAGTCTCATCTGTATAGATACCATCACACATAGGTGTTGTCCAGCATGATAACACAGACAAGACAGCTAAAACTGCATGTGATAAGCCTGAAATTGGGTTAGATATGGGCATTTCAATCTCTGCTGTAAAAGACGCAATATTTCAGGAAATTAAGGAAGACAGAAGAGCTGTTACTGACACACACAGGCTAGAAAGCACGAGTATAAAGAGCTATGACATGTTTAGAACCGAGAATTATATGAACGGGCAGCATAAAACATCCAGTACAAAGTGTGACATTTTAATTGCCAGAATTAGGCTGGGATATCGATATCTTAAGGCAGGTAATGAATCCCCCAATGATGAACATTCCAACTGTAAACTATGTGAACAAGAACTGGGATATACTCTCCAACACTATATCTGTGAGTCACCTGTTATCATTGACTTCAGACCAAATGGTATGAGGTACTTTGAGCTGTGTAATTTCTTCATACACTCAGGAATATTGGAATATATTCTTGCGGTGTACCCAGATTTTGCTAGTGGAGGCTAATTGATCAGCATTACATTTCATGTTCTCTCCTGATTCCATGTATGACTGGCCGCCCTATGAGATGGGGATGTTGGATGAACTTGTAGCTGCCTTTTGATCTACACTGTGTAATCTTTCATACAGAATAGGGTAGTATAAGGTGCTGTGTATACCTAAACTTGTTAATAATAATAAAAAAATCACAAATACACAAGTGTGAGTTTTCATTCTGTATTAACAGTATTTATTCTGTATTATTCTGTATTATTATTATTATTATTATTATTATTATTATAAATGATGATACTTTGCAGTCTAAAGTTACCATAACTTTGTTAAGTAAGCGATGTAAATAATAAACTCCCAGCTTGACGGAGGTCTTCGCCTCGCTCCCAGCTAAACCCGAGGCTTATAACCTAAACTGGACCTACCATAAAGAAGAGATTACCATAGTTACTATAAATATGATACTTCAGCACCTAAACAGTCTGAGAAGCAAGAATATAATACTTGCCAGTGCATCACCACGTCGGAGGGAGATACTGGAGAAAATTGTAAGCACTCCAGTTCAAAAAGTGTATAGAATGTTCAGTTCAAAATGAGTTATGTTAGATATTATTAGCTGTGTTTATGTTATTCCGTGAGTGCTATGTTGTGTACTGGTCTAGGGTAGCATGCTGCTGCACCTTTTCCAGTTTATTGATGTACTTTTAGAGATATGAGCACCATACAACTGCTGCATATTCCAATTGTGATCTAACAAAAGCCATAAACATTTTTTTTAGTATTTCACTATCTGTGTAATTAAAAGCAATTCTGAAGTAGGAAAGCGATGCTTATGATTCTCGCACAATGTTCTTTGTGTGAGGAGTCTTTATGTCCTCTTAGTTTTCTTTCTTGCACTTCAAACTCACACTGTATCTTGTGCTACCCACTCCCCAATATTAGTACTTAAGACATGCAACTTCACGAGTGTAATAATTTACATAAATATATATGAAGTTATGTAAAACTTAAAATTGCTACAAAGTACATCTTGATAAACTTATCTCCTAGATTTACACTGCCCGAAACGCTTTGCGTAATAGTGGCTTTAGGCATTGTATGTACTAGCTCTATCTATTAAGCCAACAAACTTTGTAAAATCTCTTTAAGATGGACCTTACCTAAATAAAAATTATTATTATTATTATTATTATTAAGGATCTGTCCAAAAAACTATGCATCATCATCTTAAGGAAAATATTGGTACTGCTGGATAAGCCTTTCATTGTATTGTACATAATACTTTTCATAATTCACTCTTGTATTATAATACACTTGAATAAACCTTATAATGAGGTGTGCACTTGCACTGCAGTGCACAGTTATCTTGAGGTTATCTTGAGATGATTTCGGGGCCTTAGTGTCCCCGCGGCCCGGTCCTCGACCAGGCCTCCACCCCCAGGAAGCAGCCCGTGACAGCTGACTAACTCCCAGGTACCTATTTTACTGCTAGGTAACAGGGGCATAGGGTGAAAGAAACTCTGCCCATTGTTTCTCGCCGGCGCCGGGGATCGAACCCAGGACCACAGGATCACAAGTCCAGCGTGCTGTCCGCTCGGCCGGTGTGCTCCTCAGTGTCTTGAGGAGCACACTTAAGATAATTTATTGTGTCCAAGTTGATTCTTGGTCCACTCCTCTTGGATACTATACATTATATTTGTCATAAAAGCAAATTATGTTTCAGGGTTTGAAGTTGACCATCATGCCTTCAGAGTTTGAAGAGAACCTAGACCCCAATAGCTTCTCTGATCCAGGTGATTTTGTGATTTCTACTGCACACCATAAAGCAGATGAGGTATTGGTATAGATCTCATAAAATTTACATTGACTATTTTAGAAGAGCAGATATCATTTTAGCAGTACAGTACTATGAAGGTCAATTTCTACATTAGCTTACAGCTGGCAGAACTTCTGTTGTGATATATTATAATTTTAGTGGATCTAGATTTATCTCTTGTTTGATGTAGGTACTGTATATTATTATGAGTTTCAGTCATATATAAAAAAAAAAAGTCAGTTAATGTTTCTAATTTGTAATTTTGTTTATTAACTGTTTAATAAATAAATTTTCTCCATATAGTCTGATGGAATTTTCTCCATATAGTCTGATGATTTCTCTAAATGTCTGTTGCATTTTTTATATTTAAGGTGGCTAAAAGGCTTGACCGCTTAGGTTCACCACCAGACCTTGTCATTGGTGCCGATACTTGCGTTAGCCTTAGTGGAAAAGTCTATGGGAAGCCAAAAGATCATGACGATGCTTTTCACATGCTTAGTAAGTAAGTAAACTTACAAGGTTATCTAAATTGTATAGTTTATATTAGTATTACTATTGCTGTTTTTCTGCAATAGATATATGAATTGACGGCATGGTGCTTTAGTAGGGAAAATCATACCTTTGGCAATGCATATTTTGGTCTACTGCATTAATATTGGTATGTTTTATGAAATTGTAAATGTCTTGCAATCTGTTGTGCTGGAGTAGATACATTTCTTAATCATTCCTTAATGATACACTTCCATCAGATTAGTAAACTATTTTTGTTGCATATTGTTCTTGAATCATAATAACAAACTTTCTGGCTTACAGGTTAAGTGGTAAGGGTCATGAAGTGCTGACAGGAGTATGTTTAATGGTACGGAAAGGAAGAACCTGGCAGGACGTTTCCTTTTCTGAAACCACTTCAGTTCAGTTTGCCGAGTTAAACGCAGAAATTATTAATGCATATATTGATACTGGAGAGCCTTTGTAAGTATAGAAATATAATTGTTTAAAAAATGAAAATGACTAAAATACAATCTTATATTATTAGAGCTTGACTATCCATAGAAATGTATTCACGAAAAAGGAAAGCTATAATAAAATTATTCCATATTGGTAACTTCCACATTGTTCATACTTCATCAGAATATATTGTTTTGATGACAGTTTACAGTACCTGTTTACACTGTCCATTTACAGAGGATATGTCCCAGTAACTTAGAGATTTGACTGAAAAATACATGTTTCACATTTCTTTCTCTTGATCTTTGCTCTGCACACACGTTTAATAAAGAAGGACTCTCGAGAGTGGTGGACATATATAGAGTTGACCAAATTCCATTAAATGCTGTGAAATGTTTTTATGTAGGCAGTAGTGCAGGTGTAAGAGTTAATGTTGTAATGAGTGGCTGATATATTGATATATGCGTATGTCAGGGTTGTGTGATGTCATCTTGTTTGTTCAATATATACATGGATGGAGGGGTTATGAGGAAGGTGTTAGAGAAAGATGTAAACCTAGTACAGGGTATCACAATGGTCCAAGTCCTCAGCTTAGGGACACAGGTTCAAATCTTGGGGAAGGACAGAAATGGTTGGGCATGATTTCTTTTACCTGATACCCCTGTTCACCTTAAATAGGCACCTGAGAGTGAGGCAATTGGCTTTTTGTTTCAGATATTAGGAAACAGAGATGAGCAATATTAAAGGAGGCAGATTCACCAAGGATTTTATTTAGAGACAATTAACTCAATGGGACAGTGGGAAAGCAAAATTTTGAATCATTAAAATCAAGACATTCTATGAGAAAGTCAGTGACTGTTAGTAGAACAATGTATTTCTGGCAGCAAGGTTCAGGCTACTTTTATTTCAATATGTGCCCATGAGACACAGAAATCACAATAGCATGATGCATCAAATGAAGTTGTGTAAAACCCTGGTTTGTGCCTCAGAGAGGCTGCAGGATCCAGTAAGTTCAGTAGAACTTCGGTTTCAACTCTTATTGCCATGTCATAGCTCAGTCGATTAAGGCAGTGTCTGGGATGCCCCCAGACGTAGGTTCAAATCCTCGTCACGGCCCTTGTGGATTTGTTCATGTGCCCATGAGTTAATCATGTGTGGCCAATGCCCAGCCTAGCCAGAGACATTTCCCACTTTCTGTTATGGTAGCAGGCGGAATGCCATGGGGATATTTTACATTTGTTAGTACGTAATTTATTTCTAATTTAATTTCTATATCTAACTACTTATTCAGGAAGGTAGGAATTGCAGTGTATTGGCTGTTCAGCATGAAAGTAAGGGACAGAAAGGGAACCTCATTCCAGATTAAGTTTACATTATTGCTAGGATGATACAGTAATTAAAAGAGTAAGAGGTATGTTAAAAAGGTACAAAGACAGAATTGACCAAGACAAGTGCCAAGCATTGGTTCTTGGAGAGAGGCACACAATGGAGAAAACTTGGAGATAAAAAGTAGCAAATCAGAGAAATTAGCAAGAAATCCATGTGTATATAAATTGTCATCCACACTTCCGTGGCAATAAACAGTCCATTCACCTGGACTCTTAGGAGTCTCAAACCGTGGACCCCACACGCGTGAGGACGAAGCTCTATCGTCCGAGCTATATTACATCCATGTATGTATTCTTGTGAATAAAAGACATATTCATAACAGGAAGAAAGGAAGAGAAAAGGCATAAAACAAGTATACGAATACTGTAGTAAAAAAAAAAAACTTGTCAATTAGTTGTAATCCATTAAATCTGGATTAGGTGGCACAGGTAAGGCAAGCAAAGAGGAATGGTTTGGAAGGAACATAGATGAGGGCTCAGCCATATAGACAGATTCAGGTGAAGGAGACAGGATAGACTGGAAAGGCAAAGAGGACTTGAGTAAGTGGGACTGCACCAGAATGTCACCAGGTCCTGGAATAAGGCAATTGAGCGGAAAGGTCAGAGACAGTCTTAAACCTGCACACACCCTATATTACATAAATTTCCACGTACATAAACAAATCCTACAAATTCTTTATCTACTTATATCATAAATCATATATTTCTGATAATGGGAAAACAAATTGAATCATTTTAGTGTACTCACCTAGTTATACTTGTGGGGATTGAGCTCTGGGTCTTTGGTCCTGCCTCTCAACTGTCAATCAACTGGTAGTGGTAGTAATGAGGTGAAAAAATGTTGAAAATGTCAAATTCTGAGAATTAATTTTCAAGTTAACCCCTGTATTTGTAATAGAGTTTTCATCACTAATATCTTCCTGGCTCATAAAGGTCATTGAATTTTGCATGGCATCGGTGGTCCCTGGCATGGGCATCAGTCTATTGACAGTGATATACCTGACATGGTGCCATTTTTTTACCAATTTCCAGAAAGGAAACTAAAGCTTTCAGGATTTTTTCCAGCATGGCAAATTATTCCAGAGGTCTCCAGTGTTCACTGATGTTCACATAGAATCTTTAGGGCTTTTGAATATTATGAAGGCATGTTAAATCTCCTATGTCCTTAATACTGCACACACACCTAGGTACACTGGCCCCTAGATGTGCCAGGACACACCTAGCTGTAATTATTTAATTACATTAGGTAATTACAGGTGATAGGTACACTGACCCCTAGGCACACATAGGGGACAGTCAGCCTAGGTGTGCAGTGTTAAGATGGAGGAATTTTAGTTGCTCTTCTGGCTGGAAAATGGTATGCATAACAGAGAGGGTTTCTAACTTTAATGTAGCTGGTGATGTCGGCAACATTTTCAGATAGAGGCGAATGTTGGGTTGAGAGAGACTGAGAGGGGGGGGGGGTGAATATCAATTATGATGGGGTAAGACAGCCAAGAAACAGACAGATGGAAAGAAATTGAGAGTACAGATGGACCCTCAAGGTGCTCGTACTAACAAAGGGAGTGCTGAGACATTCAAACGAGTTAGGACTCTACATAGAGGAGGAGAAAGCCCAGCTAAAGTTAGGGAGGAAGTGACATGGAAGTGGTGAGGATGACTGAGATGGCCACTCGTGGCAGCTGATTGTTGAGGGGCAGTGCAAGTGCTTCAATTGAGTACACTGTCACCTGAAAAGTGTGTGACATCTGTGGAGATGCCCATGCATTGTAGTTGATGCCTCACTAGTGAAAAAGAGTATGTGATCCTTGTGTTTAAGGTGTAGGATTGAATGTTCCATTTTAAGGTGAGCACAGGACTGAGAAAATACAGAACTAATGTAGCCAGCTGGTAGGGCCATGCAGGTGAACTTAATAATTACCGAGCTCGCTACAAATAGGGCAAAGGCCCACGTGATCTTTCAACCAGAAGCACCATGGACAAATTTCCAGTATGTAATGCATTGAGAACATATGGACAGGATAATTTAACCTCTTCCTCTCCATGCACCCTGGCCCAGATACCCACAGAGAATAACTCGTCGTGGGTGACCCCTCCAGCAGGGAGGTGAGGGGAGTAAAAACCTCCCTCAGCCACCTGGGAATGATTGATTAAATACCCCTTCATCCCATCAAGGAGCACCTGTTAGGAATATGGAATCAAGTAGTAATTGCAAGGAAAATTGTGGACGGGTCAAATTGAAAAAAAATGACTGAACTCATGAGCAAGGCATTGTAGAGACTAAATAATTCTTAAGATTGCACATGGTCTCACTCTTTGTTGTTACTATTATTTTGACTATTTTCCAACATAGCAGGATTCAGGATCAAAAGTGCAGTAGCCTTGGATTTAAGGGGCAGAAAGAGGGGGGCCTGACGGCTGAGTGGACAGCGCTCGGGTTTTGTAGTCCTAAGGTTCCGGGTTCGATCCCCAGTGGAGGCGGAAACAAATGGGCATAGTTTCTTTCACCCTGATGCCCCTGTTCACCTAGCAGTAAATAGGTTCCTGGGAGTTAGATAGCTGATACGGGCTGCTTCCTGGGGATGTGTAACAAAAAGGAGGCCTGGTCGAGGACCGGGCCACGGGGACGCTAAGCCCTGAAATCATCTCGAGATAACCAAAAGATAATCTTTTGTTCCACAGAGGTTAATGTCAATGAAATTCTTAAACATTGTTAATATCTGTTGCTCTATATCTTTCATACTTTTTCTCTTTGTCAAGTTTTTAATCGGCATTGCAGTGACAAGGCTGGAGGCTACGGCATCCAGGGGTTCGGTGGAACATTGGTCGAAGCGATTAATGGTGATTACTACAATGTGATGGGCTTTCCCCTCCACCGGTTTTGTCTTCACTTGGCAAAAGTTATGGATGAACTAGTTCCTTGACTTATTGTAATCTCTTATGTCAATATTCATTTAATTTGAGCATATAGTAAATGTATTAATTTTTTAATAAATACAAACTTATTTATGGATTAATGTTAATTACTGTATTATGTATTAAATAGTATATATTGTATTATGCTGGAAAATGTAATACATTTTTATACACCTCTACTAGTTGTTGCTTACATCACAATGTAATTTTTTGGGCCTATATTTTTGCTTGAAATCTTTTTATTACATACAAATATATTAATTCAGTGTGCTCTCTAATATTTGTTTACTTTGTCCTGTACCTGTACTGTACATGTGGTGGTATATTTCACAACACAAGAACCCAGGTTCCATCCCCAAATGGGACACACACAAGGGGAGAAGGAACATGGTGCTGAAAATTGTATACATTAACATAGCTGGATTAAGATAAAAAATACTGGAGCTAAATACAGCTGCAGACACAGAAATTGTTGCACTCACGGAAACGAAACTAGATGATATTTTAAATGAGGTCGTATTCCCAAAGGGCTACTCAATTTAGAGATGAGACTGAAAAATCAGGAATGGTGAAGGTATTGCAGTGCTGGTGAAAAAACACCTAAAGGTAAACAAAATAATGATTACCACTATGAGAAGTTGACATAATAGCACTGAAAATTTGTAATACAGTAAAGGATGATAAACTGATACAGTAATCATAAATGCACACAATCCATCATCATGCAACACATGAACAAATGAGGATCTGGATAATAAATGAGAGGGCCTAATAACAATCATGAGAGAGATTATAGCAAGAACGGATAAAGATAAATCGCGACTGCTGGAAGTTGGTGACTTTAACTTGAAATCCATAGACTAGGAGCTATGAACAAAGGATTTCTGGACCTTTAGATTCATAAACCTCATTCTGGAAATAGAGATGCAGAACTAGGAAACAAGATTGGTTCAACAGAAATTGAGAGGGCCAGAGAACTAAAGACACATAAATGGAATCAATATAGGACTAGGGCAAACCCTCAAACATACCAGCGATACAAAGAACACCACAACAGTGAGAAGAACGACAAAGAAATTTTGAGAATGAGATACAAGACAAATTTAAAACAGAACCATGCCTATTCTATAAATTCATTAAAATCAAATTGCAGGTAAAGGATAATATTCAGAGGTTGAAAATAGAAAACAGATTCATGGAAAATGAAAAGGAAATGTGTGAAACATTAAACAAACAGTTTCAAAGTGTGTTTGTGCAAAATTAAATTTCAGAGAACCAGACAATAAGAATAACAGAACAATTGTTATATCGTGGAGTCTGAGTTAGGATAATAATCAAGGTAAGGGAGTTCCACCAAATGGGGTTAGAATACTGGTTCGGTAACAGGGTTGTTGATTTGTGGAACCAATTACCGCGTAACGTGGTGGAGGTGGGGTCCCTCGATTGTTTCAAGCACGGGTTGGACATGTATATGAGTGGGATTGGGTGGTTATAGATAGGAGCTGCCTCGTATGGGCCAATAGGCCTTCTGCAGTTACCTTTGTTCTTATGTTCTTAATAGGCCTCGCCCCCCAGGTAAAAAGTTCCCAAATAAATAATGAATTATGAAAGGACTGCTGACTAGTGCAGATAACCTAACCCATGAACCAGATGAGTGTTAGAATCTCCAGCTGAAGTTTTACCCTAATATAATTTAATAACCCTAAAACCCCCAGGTACAACAGAAATAATTTACCACCCCAATCTTACGTTACCTCTCTGACTCCACATTGGCAGGAGACGAGATTTACATACAACAAACAAGTGGTAAAGTCACCGTTTCCTGAAGGAATAATTTACTACGTAAATGAGTACGCAGTAATTATATCAGATACATGTTTAAGGGTCAGTACCTGGATCTAATTACATAGAACCCCAAGGAACACCAACAAAATTACACTTAGAACCAAAGAGTGGCAAGTGGTACGAGTACTTTACTTAATTATAACTTAAGAAGTAAAAGTAGGAGAGAAGGAGGGAACGCCCAGTCAACATCTCCAACTGAACCTAAGGTTGCTGCAGAAGAGCGAGCTCTTCACTTGCCATGTGGCGTGTTGCCTGCTTGATCAGCTGATCATACAGTAACCATTTACTTATCCTCTAATACAATATTAAATTACCACCATGCAGTTGTAAGTATAAATATAACATCCTAGCTTTACAATACACTAACAAATTATTTTCCGTGTAACTACAAAACTAGGAGCATCAAAGTGTTCATACATGCATTGCTTTTACAAAATGCTTCAGAGACGAAGTAAAATAAATGATCAAGGAGCTAAGTAAGAACAAGTTGGCCCAGATGGAGTTTCACCATGGGTTCTGAGAGAATGTGCACCTGAGCTCAGCATTCCACTTCAACTGATTTTTCAGGCATTCCTGTGTACAGGAGTCATAGCAGATGTGAAGAGACTAATGTAGTTCCAATCTACAAGTGGGAGCAGGGAAGACCCCTCAATTATAGACCTGTATCATTGGCAAATGGAATAGTCAAAGTATTGAAAAATATAATTAAATTAAATGGGTAGAACACCTGGAGAAAAACGATATAATAACAGACAGTATGGTTTTCGATCTGGAAGATCCTGTGTAACAAATTTACTTAGTTTCTATGATCGAGCCACAGAGATTTTTACAGGAAAGAGATGGTTGGGTTGACTGCTTCTATCTGGACCTGAAAAAGGTTTTTGACAGAGTTCCACATAAGAGGTTGTTCTGGAAAATGTAACATATTGGAGGAGTGACAGGTAAGCTTCTAACATGGATAAAAATATATCTAACTGACAAAAAAATGAGGGCAGTAATCAGAAACAATGTATCGGACTGGAGAAATGTCACGAATGGAGTACCACAGGGTTCTGTTCTTGCACCTGTGATATTCATTGTCTACATAAATGATCTACCAGATGGAATACAGAATTATATGAGCATGTTTGCTGATGATGCTAAGATACTAGGGAAGATAAGGAACTTAGACAATTGTCATGCCTTTCAAAAAGTTCTGGACAAAATAAGTATATGGAGCACCACTTGCGCAAATGGAATTTAATGTGAACAAATGTCATGTTAAGGAATGTGGAATAAGAGAAAATAGACCCCCACACAACTTACAAATTACATGAAAAAGCTTTAAAAAATTATGATAAAGAAAGAGATCTAGGGGTTTCTAGATAGAAAACTATCATCTGAGAACCACATAAAGAACTTTGTGCAAGGAGCCTATGTTACGCTTTCCAATTTCCGAATTGTTTTTAAATACTGTACATGAATGATGAAATACTAAAGAAATTGTTCCAACTTTTGTGAGAGCAAAGCTGGAATATGCAGCGGTTGTATAATGCCCATATCTTAAGCACATTAACAAACAGAAAAAAGGTGCAGAGACATGCAACTAAATGGCTCCCGGAACTGAAGGACAAGAGCTACGAGGAGAGGTTAGAGGCATTAAATATGCCAAAACTAGAAGAAAACGAGGTGATATGATAACTACGTACAAAATAGTAATGGTAATCAACAAAATTGTTAGGGAAGAATTCCCGAGACTGGAATTACAAGAACAAGAAGTCTTAGATTTAAACTAACTAAACAAAGCTGCAGAAGAAATATAAGAAAATTCACTTTCGCAAACAGAGTGGTAGACGGTTGGAACAAGTTAGGTGAGAAGGTGGTGGAGGCCAAAACCGTCAGTAGTTTCAAAGCGTTATATGACAAAGCATGCCGGGAAGACAGGACACCACGAGCATAGCTCTCATTCTTTAACTGCACTTAAATAATTTTACACTTGGGCATGTTTTCTTTCATCTGATGCTTCTGTTCACCTAAGAGTAAATAGGAACCTGGGGAACTAGGCAATTGTTGTGAGTTGCATCCTGGAGAAGGTCAGTTGTTGGCCTATAGGAAGACCTTGATAAACCTGTTAGGTTTTCCTGTCCCTGACTATGGGGAAACCTTAAGATGGACCATATTGCTAAATATTTAAGGCTCAATACAGTGGTATGGTATTAAATGATGATAAATAGTATAAAAGGACATAATGTATATATCATTTCAACTTCTATTGTAGAAGATAAACATGGGTCTGCATATGTATCGACACTGGACATGCATTTGGTCATAAGATTATGATTTTTTTTTATAATTTAATAAAACTCTAACTTATGTACCTTCTTTTTGTATTGTATGATTATTGTATCATTCTTTCTTACTTATTTTTGCAATCTCATTCACTATACAATGTGAAGTAAAATGTACTATACAATTTCACAACCAAATCAAATTGATCTCGCAAAGCAATCCACAGATATTTATTTGTTAAAACAGTGTCTACATTGCATTTATACAGTCTGGTGCTTAAATGTAGATTAAACAAGTGGGAAGAAATTTACATTTTGTTTAGAGACAAATATTCAATTATACATTTTATTGCATTTTGAACACTGGAGTGATAGAGAAGACTTACATAGCATAGCATCTGCCCGAAACGCTGCGCGTGTTAGTGGCTTTACAAGACTGTAATTACCATATTTGTATCCTCACATTCCTTATGTACATTCTTGTATATGCATAAATAAATAAATAAATAGATACAAGTTTGGCCTCCACCACTGGGTTAGATAACGTTTCAGATTATTAAATATACAAAAACAATGATAGGACATCAACTATCAAGCATATTACATGTTTAAAATTATAGTATGTGTACGTTGTTGCAATTATTTAGTTATTATACATATATAACGATGGGAAATATATTAATTGAAATTTCAATAAATTAACTCAGGCCTGAATATTATAAAGTTGCTACTGATCATCCTGGGGTAATATATTAATGCTAAAATAGGAACTACAGTAGTATATTATTGAAATGTAACTACAAGATGCACAATATAAATGGATTGCTAAAGGTAGCATGATTATTACAAAAAACTGCTAACAATGAGGATAGGCTGAGGTTGCCCCTGCGGTAAACGTGAGAGCAAGGTTATTGTATATAAGATCAAGGCAATTTTTTTATTTTAATTTTTTGTAACATTATATATTTGAATGGTTTTTGTTTAACATTTGTACTAGCATATACTAGTAAGCCATTTCCTGCCAATAAAAACAGGGGTGGCATACATAGAATTCTTTAAATGCACTTTGGCTATTGTGCATTTTTGTACACACACACACACACACACACAATTAACTACACTGATTAATTAAATGTAATTAGGTAATTACACACACACACATGTAT